GACTTGTCCTCCTAAAGACTTGCAAACAGACATTTGAGAACTCAGTGGTGAGTGTAGGGTCCTCTAACGGTCAAGTTAGAAATGCTTGGTGAAGAAAATAATCAGAGGAGATGAATTTTTCTGTTTTTTTTCTTTTTTCTTTTTTTTTTGAGAACTCACTAGTGTGTGTAGGGTCCTCTAACAGTCAAGTTAGAAATGCTTGGTGAAGAAAATAACTATAGGATATGAAAAAAAAATTTCTTGCCCAGAACACTTCGAAGGGAAGATAATCTCGGCTTGTTTGGTTTGTTTTTGAGAGAGTTATTTTTGAAAAAAAAATTTAAAATTTTGTTTGGTTTGTAGTTTTTCTCAAAAAATTTATAAAATCATTTTCTCTCTTTTACACATCAATCAATCACTTTTTCTCTCACACATATCTACTCAATTACAACAAAATATCAAATCATCCCAAACTCTCAAACTCCAAAACCACTTTCAAAATATACAACCAAACAAACTAAAAACATTTCTAAACTCTCTTCCCAATTTTTTTTTCAAAAACAACTCTCTCAAAAGTAAACCAAACAATCTTTACAAGTTAAACTGGAGAAAACTATCCGATTCACCTTAAATTATCAGATTTTCACTTGAGTGGTAAGGAATTTGAACCCTGGTCAGTGAGGAGAGAAGCAAACTCCCTCACCAACTAAGATGGTCCATTGGTGATAAAAAAAAATATCATACCTTCCAAATAGTGAAATGTGGGTTTATATATGGTGCCTAGGGATGTAAGAGAAATCAAAAAAATCAACCAAACCGATTGAACTGGACTGAAACGATTATATTTGGTTTGTTTTTTTAATTGGAATCGGTCCATACGGTTTTTTAATTTGATTTTTTATTATTATTCTCGATTTGGTATCGACTCAAGCACCTTGTGCACCGAAATAAACCGAAACCGACTGCTTCAACATATATTGTATTTATATAATGATATAAATGAATATAATAAATTATTAACCACAACGAATTAATCTTATCATCTTTATAATCTAAGTGAGTAAACTCTTATTATATATAATCTTAACTAGGGATGTAATCGGTTCGATACGGTTGGTATTTAGGTAGAATTTTTCACCGAACCGATAATATCGGTTTTATTATTTTAAGCAACGTAAGAGACCGTTTCCCCCATCAAACCGTACCGAATCGAACCAATTGAAATGGTTTGGTTTAGTATGGTTTAATCAGTTTAAGACTTTTCAAACTTCGGCCTCGTTTGGGAACAGACTAATTTAGTAACTTTTTGGCTATTTGGCTAAAACATGAGCTAAAAAAAACTAGTATGTTTGGGATGACTTGTTGGTTTTTTACGAAAAGATGTGCAAAAACTAGAGAGAGAAGATAATCTTTGACTTTTTAGTATGAGTTGTTGGCTTTTTAATTTTTTTTAATGACTTTTTGGCTTTTGGCTAAACGAGCGAGTCACTTGTCAAACGAGGCCTTAAACTACTTTTTAATAAGTCACCAATTTATATAAAAATATTGAATTAATTATTTGTCCACCACTTCAAACGTATCAAATCCACCCATTTAATAAATACTTTCAAATTTCTAAATTAACAAAAATACAAACAAACAAAAAATAATAAATAATAAAATTTTAAAAATAATGAGTTAGAGTTAAGATTATATATAATAAGAGTTTACTCACTTAGTTTATAGAGATGGTAAGATTAATTCATTGTGGTTAATAATTTATTATACTCATTAATATCATTATATATATATATATATTACAAATACAATATATATTGAAGCAGTTAGTTTCAATTTATTTTAGTGCACAAGGTGCTTGAACTGATACCGAATCAGAAAAAAAAATCAAATTAAAAAATCGCACGGACCGATTCCTGTTAAAAAATAGACCAAATATAATCGTTTCGGTCCGATTCAATCGGTTTGATTAGTTTTTTCGATTTCTCTTACATCCCTAATCTTAACTCTAACTCATTATTTTTGAAATTTTATTATTTATTATTATTTTTTATTTGTTTGTTTGTATTTTTGTTAATTTAGAAATTTGAAAGTATTTATTAAATGAGTGGATTTGATACGTTTGAAGTGGTGGACAAATAACTAATTCAATATTTTTACATAAATTGGTGAATATTAAAAAGGGAAAATGTTTGGGACCTCCACAAAGGATGACCCTCACGACCCCCATTGATGTATTGATCATCTGACAGTGACGTAAATTGTTTAGATCATTTTGGGGGTTGTGTTTTGTGGGTGCCTCTATCATTACTGATTAAAAAGTGGCTCAAGTTTGAAAGGTTCTAAACTGATTAAATCATACTAAACCAAACCATTTCAATTGGTTCGGTTCAGTACGGTTTGATGAGAGAAACGGCCTATATCAGTGCTTAAAATAATAAAACCGATATTATCAATTCGATAAAAAATTCTATTTAAACATCGACTGTACCGAACCGATTACATCTCTAATGATACCTTCCAAATAGTCGAATGTGGTTTATATTAGGGGTGCAACTTGGGCGGGCTCAACCCAAGCAACCAAATCTAGCATGAATTTTTTAGGGCTTGGACAAGATATTTTCAAATTCGGTATGGGTTTGGGCAAAAATTTAGAAGCCCAAATTAAATTTGGGTTGGTTTGAGCAAAGACGTTAAACAACCCGAGCAAACCGAAATCAGAATTATACATATATAGATATATAAAAATATTAAATATACATATAAATTATTAGCTAGTATATGATATTAAAGTAATTTAGATTATTAAATCATATTGAATATATATTATATATATAAATAATATAAAATCTTACTTTTTTTTTTAATTTTTATTTTCACCTATAAATTGTAAAGACTACTATAACGACATATCTTTTACATCATATACATTATTTATTTTGATGGTATTAATGATTTTCTATAAAAAAAAAAATTGTAAGTAGAGTCAAATTTTAATAATTTAATAATGCAGTTACAAAAAAGAAAAAATAAAAATTTGAAATTCATTTACAATTCGGACAACTCAGACAATTCAGGTTTAATCGGGTCGAATTTGAACATGCAATCTCAAATTACAATTCAAACTTGAACAGACCTGTGCAAATCTCAATAAAACTTAAATTGAGGTTAGATAATCTCTTAATCCGCCTGAACCCTCCCATGTTTCACCTCTAATTTATATAAGATTCTTTTCTTCGTGAGGGACTAATTCTATTAGTATCACCGTCAATTGTGAGGTGCTATGCGTTGTACTATTACGAGGCATGAACAGTGGTACAAGTTCACATTTCTCCATGGCCCGTCGGTAGATGTAAATGGAGAGGACCATTCTACAATCACGGCACGTGTCCTAGCCCTTGTCCGCGTACCAAACGTGAATGCCCTATTATACTATAGGTAGGTTTCATAATCTCATATATTGGTACGTATATGTTTTTTTTGTTAATTATTTCATTATTCAACTCTCATTCAGAAGAAAAAAACATAAAGATTGTAAATTGAAATTTAAACACTTTTTGCTTTAACCCTAAAGCACATATTGATCATATTTTATGATAGACACGAGACATTTCTATACGAGTTGGGTACTGAAAGGCGGCACAGCGTACCCAATTATTGATGGGAAACAAAATTGACAGATAAGCAATTGACGACCCTACATTTCTAGGAGCAGGTGAACCACTTTAATCAGCTTTATTTTTAATTGTTGTCTCTCTCTCTCCCTCACCTTTATATTAAATAAGTAGATTATGCTCGTATATTGCGCTATGCTAGGCAATACATAAATACACATTAAAAAAAAAACATATAAACTAGTCAATGATACCATTTTGGATCCCCCAATTTTACCGTTTACAAAAAGCCTAATTGTACATGTCAGTATGTCTGCATTAGTATTGTACATGTCAGTATGTCTGCATCAGTATGGGAGCGGGTGGGGGGACGTTGCTGCTTCCATTGCAGTTATCGATACATATAATTTAGAGAAAGGTCGGTCAATGTAACAAATGGGATCAAAATTAACCAAATCTCACACACTTGTCGGTGTAAGCACAATGCTAACTAACCATTTTCTTTATGGCAAGCTCACATTAAAGAATGGTGAGGTAGCCAAGTTACGTAGCCAACTAAAATAAAGTTGGTCCCATTGCCTGTGTTGTCGTACTTCTAATTAAACAATTGAGGGCGGTCTATAAATTTACTTTCTCGTGCTTGTGTAGTTGAGATATGAGAGTGTGCTTCGCACAAAACTAATACATAAATACACATTAAAAAAAAAAAAAAAACATATAAACTAGTCAATGATACCATTTTGGGTCCCCCAATTTTACCGTTTACAAAAAGCCTAATTGTACATGTCGGTATGTCTGCATTAGTATTTTTTTTTTAAAAAAATCTTAAGATTTAAATTTTTTCACAAGGTACACGTATATTAATTAATGAGAAAATATATCTAATTTGAAAATATTCTTAATTTATACAACGGGAAAGTTTTGAAAGAAAAATACTATCTATAATCTCATTTTATTACATTTTTTTTTCTTTCTCAATCGCAAGTAATTGAGTATATTTGTGTTTAGAAGTGAGAAAATAAAATAAAAACTGTGATTATGTATAACGTTATTTTATTTTATTTTGAATTTTTGAAATGCGATCACTTTAGCCGCCCCTTTTGTCCATCCATGCATATTTGTGTGTGTGTGGGGGAGCGGGTGGGGGGAGGTTGCTGCTTCCATTGCAGTTATCCATACATATAATTTAGAGAAAGGTCGGTCAATGTAACAAATGGGATCAAAATTAACCAAATCTCACACACTTGTCGGTGTAAGCACAATGCTAACTAACCATTTTCTTTATGGCAAGCTCACATTAAAGAATGGTGAGGTAGCCAAGTTACGTAGCCAACTAAAATAAAGTTGGTCCCATTGCCTGTGTTGTCGTACTTCTAATTAAACAATTGAGGGCGGTCTATAAATTTACTTTCTCGTGCTTGTGTAGTTGAGATATGAGAGTGTGCTTCACACAAAACTAAAGAAAAAAAGGAAAGAAAGAGAAGTGTTTGTTCCAAACATTAGAAAAAATATAATGGGTTATTTTGGAATTGTGATCTTGGCTTTCCTTGTTGCATTTCTAGGGTCTGCTCGTGCTGATCTAAAGATGGGTTTCTATGATAAAAGCTGTCCAAAAGCTGAGAAGATTGTGCTTGACTTTGTCAAAGAGCACATCCCAAATGCTCCTTCACTTGCAGCTGCCTTAATAAGAATGCACTTTCATGACTGCTTTGTCAGGGTTAGTTTCTCTTCTGTCTCTGCTCTCTCACTATTTGGCCTCCAGACCTCGCTTTAGCAAGAGTCTCGTTCACTTTTGATCGCCCATTTTTTAGTGGTTCGGGTGTTAGATTATGCATGGAGTTAATTCTCATCTTCTGTTTTTTTTCCTTTTTTAAAACCAGGGTTGTGATGGGTCAATTCTTCTAAATTTCACAACAGCTTCGGGGAACCAAACCGAGAAGGTGGCTCCTCCAAATCTGAGTGTCAGAGGCTTCAGCTTCATTGACAGAGTGAAAAGCTTACTAGAAGCAGAATGTCCAGGCATAGTCTCTTGTGCAGATATCATTACATTGGTTACAAGAGACTCTATTGTTGTCACTGTAAGTACTCAAATAACCATGAAAAACAACTTATAAGTCTTAAAACTCATTTATAAATCTTTGAATACATTCACTGATTTTTTATTTTTATTTTTGGAATGATAGGGAGGTCCTACTTGGAGAGTACCAACCGGTCGACGGGATGGGACGGTCTCAAATGCCACAGAAGCCTTGAACAACATCCCTGCCCCAACTAGCAATATCTCTACCCTCCAAACAAAATTCGCCGCCAAGGGGCTAAATCTAAAGGATCTGGTCCTGCTCTCTGGTAAGCTAAAAGGGGTTAAGCGACTGAGTCAAAAAAACACGTAGTTCGAAAAATGGTCAAAAAATGAAGGAAACAAAATTTAATGATGTAAGAATAGAAAAAGTAGACATGACTATTAACTTGTATGCAGAATAGTATTATTGATATGATTGAATTGGGAGTTAATTGTTTTATAATAAAATGTTAATTAAAATATTTTAATTATAAAAATGTCGTTTTCATAAGAAACTTATATATTTCAAATGAAAAGTAGGGTTTACCTACAAATTTATTGTGATATGCGTCTTATCAAAAATAAATCAAATTTACACATTTTATTTTCTAACCTCTTTTTGAACTAATTTTTATTTTTATTTATTTATTTTTTTGCGTATGTAGCATAGTTAAAGCTAAAACCACTCACATTATAGTTCCATGTATACTTGTTAGGGTATCTCCTTTTCAATTTTGCATTTTTTATTTATTTACTTTAGAATCGGGTATATGAGATATATCTAGTGATATTCGTTAAAATAGCTAATGAAAAAAGTACTTAAAAAAAAAAAATCTAACTCTTTTTTCATATAGACTCTTCAACAATGTTCTTTACTTTGCTAGTCTGTCATTAAATATTCTTTCTTTCTTACTTTCTTTCTGTCTTTAAATTATTGGGGGAGAAAGAGGAAAAAGAAATTGTATAGAAAAATGATTGGCTAGCGAATAATGACCAGCTACATTTGTATAACAGCAATGTTAGGTATCATGAAAAATCTTTTATGAAAATAATCAGGAAAGTTTTGTAATTCTTGAATTACACTTAAAATAAAGCACCACACACAAATCAAGGTAATCCAAGGATCATAACTCTTTCGTGATCATTTTCACAAAAAAAATTTCATGATCCCTAACTTTTTTTTCTGTGTCTAAACACTGTAGTGCTCAACCAAAGTAGCGGTGATTGGGCTTGCTAGAGTTCTGTTTTCGGTATTGATGCTCTCTAAAAAAGCAAAAATGTAAACATGGATAGGCAGGATTCAATACCACCAGCCATCTCACCTATCTGATTATTATTATCAAGAACATTGGCACAATGCAAATAATCTATGCAACTTCAACATCTCTTGGTCAACATAATTTAAAAAAAGAAAAGAAAAAAGAATAACATATCAGTCATAATTATTAGAATTGGCTCTATAACCGACGTAGGATTCAAAGGAGCCATTTTACAAATAATATTTCATGAATTTATTATTGCTGCATTTTTTTTTTTCTTTTGAAGATGCTCTTTAGATTTGGTGCTAATCCTCTTGATTTTTCAGGTGCACACACAATTGGTGTAGCCCACTGTTCATCATTCTCAAACCGTCTATACAACTTCACTGGTGTGGGTGATCAAGACCCAGCTCTAGACAGTGAATATGCTGCAAATCTCAAAGCCAGAAAGTGCAAGACATCAACTGACAACACCACCCTCGTCGAAATGGATCCGGGTAGTTTCAGAACATTTGATCTTGACTACTACACACTTGTGCTCAAGAGAAGAGGCCTGTTTCAATCTGATTCAGCTTTGAGAACAAGCTCCACAACAAAAACATACATCACACAACTCCTCAGTGGATCACTCCAAAATTTCTACTCTGAATTTGCCTTATCCATGGAGAAAATGGGTCGGGTCGGTGTTAAAACCGGGTCGGCCGGACAGATTAGGAAGCATTGTGCAGTGGTGAATAGTTAACAGAGCTGGCTATTAGTAGCAGCATTATTGATGATAAAATTGAGTTGTATGAATAATTTTGAGTTGAATTATTATATGTTCTTTATTGTGTACATCCTCTGTTTTGTCTATGGTGGGTTTGGTTGCTTCAATCAATAAAAAGCTAGTTCTTTTATGGACAGTTCATGGATATAATGAAAATGAGAATCTTGTACCACATGGGTTCTTTTTCTTTTGAAAAAATTATAAATAATTTTTTTTTTAGGATTTGAGTCTTATAATAAGAAGAAAAAAAAAAAGAAAAGAAAAATATTTTTTAATTTTATCAATTTAAATCATAATATTTTGATTTATTTCAATATAAAGCATTTGCCTATTTCTGTTAAGTAAAACTAATAAAAAATATGAATTTTAGTCATTACATTCAATTTAAGTTTAAAAATATATTTAAAATATTATTTTTATTAAATTTAATGAAAAAAATAATATTTTTCTGTTAGTGTTACTTAATAAAATACAAAGATAGTTCAAATTGAAAAATAAATTCAAAGAGTATTATAATTTAAATTGATGAAAATAAAAAATAAAAATTTATTTTGTTATAAAGGTCAAACTATGATTTTAATTTTCTGTTTCGTTTTTGTTTGTGAAGCAAAGAAATTTAAGAGGAAAATGACAACAACACAAAATAATAATATAAAAATCAAATCAAATCAAATCCAAAAACGTGTAATAGCGACTGCTTAGCAATTCTGATGGAAATTTCACAGATTGGCTTTGCATGGCTGGACCGGATGTGATATGTCGCGCTGTTTTATATTCAACTTAGGTGACGTGTGTCAGGCACAAAAAAATTATTTTTAAAATGAAAATTAATTTTGAGTTCTAATATTTTATGTTTAGAAAATTTTAAAAATTAAAAGCTTAATATATACAGATTTATTAATGATTAATGAAATTTTTTATCACTGTGCATAATTTTTTATAAAAGACTCATAAAAATAATTTTTTTTAAAGTTATAAAAAAAAAATAGTGTATTCTCAACTTGAAACCAAATCATCATGTGTTAATCACATTTACCAAAAATCATAAATTTCACTTGTATCAAAATGTTTTTTTCTAAAAAAATAAAAATATCAAAAAATTCTATAATATACAAATTATGACTTTGTTATAACTTATGTTGTATTATATTATAACTAGTGTATGCCCGTGCCTAAAGGCACAGTATAAATAATATTGAGATTAAAATGTAACTGTAATTTGTACGTATCATATTAAAATTTGTAGAGTCTGTAGCACCTGATAAAAGTTCAAGTCAGCACTCCTACCATTAGTTTGTAGCTAACACCTAATACACTGGTGAGTGTCACAGTACTCCGAACCACAAATATCTCACTACAAGAAAAATGGGTTTTGGCGACATTCATTTAACGGCGTTTTATTAAACGCCACAGTTTGATAATATTTAACGGCGTTTTTCAAACGTCGCTTTTTTTAAAATCAAAACGGCGCCGTCTCGGTAACCAAAGGCGCTTGAAAACGACTTCGAATGTCTCTCTCTCTCCAATGGGCGAGCGGTGAATATCAAATATAAATACATTTTGTAGCCCTAACCTCTCACTCACTCATTAGTCTGTCTCGTTCTCTCTCTCTCTCTCTAAACAGTCTCAACGGATCGATTCATCTCTCACGGATTGATTCATCTCTCGTTGTAGCCCTAATCGAAGTTCTCCCTCTCGATTTCGATTTCGATTTCGATTTCGAAATCTATGTTTCGGTGATTCTCTCTCTCTCTCTCTCCCTCTCTCTCTATATATTCATCCTTTGTTCTCTGCGATATCGATCTGAAGCTCTGAAGCTCTGGGAGATTGCGATGAGAGAAGAGGGGTTGGTTTCGATCGCAGAGGAAGTGATCTCAGGAGAGGCTGTGCTTCGATTTCTCAGATCGGTCTCAGAGCGATTGCGATTTTGAAATTCATCTCAGAGCGATTTCGATTTGAAGTTCTCTCTCTCGATTTCGAAGCTTCACCGCGAGGTATTGATTTCTCTCTCTCTCTCTCAAGCTCTTCCTTCCCATCTCTCTTGATTTGGTTATTGAGATCTATTGCTTATTTGTGTTGTGTGTGTGTGTGTATATATATATATAAATGTTTGGTTTCTTCGTTTTTTCCCCCCCATTATGTCACTGTGTAGCTTACCTGAAATCTTAGTTACCACAATGGAACCTCATTGATGCACATTTGCTTAGCTGTATTACAGCAACACTTACACCTGCAATTTTCACATCTGTTCTTCATTTGCAACACAGTGCAGAGGTATGGGACACATTATGCAAGAGATTTACTCTGCTCTCCCGATTTCATATTCATTAAATGAAAAATAGGTTGAACAATCTGACTAAGGACTCTAAATCCATTGAAGATTATTTGAGTCAAATTAAAGATCTTGCTGATCAACTAGCTTTAGCTTCATCACCTGTTGATGAAGAAGATCTTGTGTTGCTTACTTTAAATGGATTATTGATGAATTTGATGCCCTTAAAACTACCATTCGTGCACGAGTTGATGCTATTTCTATGGCTGAATTGACATCTCTGCTTTGTTCTGAATCTATTCACATTGAAGCAAAACAAAGAAAGAGTCAGAATCTAGACTCATCTGTTGCTTATTCTGCTACAAGAGGTTCTCATTCAGGTTCTTCTTCATCATATTCTCGTGATAGATCCAGTCCTAATTACCGAGGCTCCTCTCGAGGTATCTTCCGCGGGGGCAGATCTTCTAGAGGCAGAGGCAGACAAGGCAGACAACCATTCCATTCTGGACTCATCTGTCAAATTTGTGGAAAGGCCAATCACATTGCCTCTGATTGTTGGCATCGATTGGATACTACTTATTCTCAGTCTTCTTCTTCTCCTCACTCACAACATTCATCTTCCCCAAAGGCATATGTTGCCTCTGCATCACCTGAATCTTCTCCTTGGTATCTTGATTCAGGTGCTACTGATCATATCACACACGATCTCTCCAATCTCAGCCTGTACCAACCATATCAAGGTACTGATCAAGTTACAGTTGTCAATGGTACTTCTCTGCCTATCCAACATACAGGGAAAGGTATTTTGCCTACTCCTCACTATTCTTTTAAGCTTACCAAAGTTTTACATGCTCCTATTTCCTCAAATCTTGTTTCTGTTCATAAACTTACCCAAGTCAATAATTGTACTGTTACTTTTGATGATTCTTCATTTGTGGTTCAGGACAAGGCTTCGAAGGCAGTCTTGCACAAGGGCTTTAGTGTTCATGGTTTATATCATTTTCCTATTACCTCTTCTCCTTCTTCTTTATCTCATGTTCTTCATACTTCCACTACTGGAGCTGTTTCTGCTGAAGTCTGACATAAGAGATTGGGTCATCCATCTCAGTTGAAATTTGTACATATGCAAAGTCACTTGCCTGATATTGCTAATAAAACCTTGGCTTCTTTGTCTTATTGTGTTCATTGTTGTGTGGCCAAGAGCCATAGACTTCCTTTTATGCTTTCTAATTCTACTGTAAACAAACCATTATCTCTCATTCATAGTGATGTGTGGGGTCCTTTTTCTTCTTTGTCTCCATATAAGTACTATGTGCTTTTTGTTGATGATTTTAGCAGGTTTACATGGATTTATCCGTTGTGTTACAAGAGTGAAGTGTTTTCAAAATTTTTGGAATTTAAGGTTTTTGTTGAAACTCAATTTTCCACCAAACTGCAAGTCCTACGAACTGATGGAGGCACTGAATTTGTTAATACTCCAATGACTCAATTTTTAAAAGCTCATGGTATACTTCATCAAATGTCTTGTCCTTATACACCTCCACAAAATGGCGTTTCTGAGCGCAAACACAGGCACATCATTGAAACAACCATTGCTTTGTTACATCATTCTTCTGTACCTTTACAGTATTGGTTTGATGCAGTGTCCACCGCTACCTATCTCATTAATAGGATGCCTAGCTCTAAGCTTTCTAATAAGTCTCCTTATGAAATTTTATCTCATTCTTCTCCTTCTTATTCCTCTTTTAAGGTGTTTTGCTGTCAATGCTTTCCTTGGCTTCGGCCCTACACTTCTAACAAGCTTCAACCTAGATCTATGGTTTGTGTTTTCCTTGGTTATCATTCATCTTTTAAAGGATACAGATGTCTTGATCTTGCTACAGGGAAAATTCATATTTCTAGACATGTTTTGTTTAATGAGGATATCTTTCCTTTTACCACTGCTCAGCCTCCTTCTAAGTCTTCTTCTGCTTCAAACTTACAGTCCTTCTTTTGGTTCTCTAGCTCTCCTTTTAGATCTGGTGATCCTCATACTCCTCTTCCTTGTCCTACATCTCGGCCTCCCTCTCTTTCTGTATCTTCTGCTGTGCCCACTACTCTTGCTACTGCTCTTGCTGTTGCTCCTCTGTCTGCTGTTGCTGCTCCTCTGTCCGAGTCTCCTATGGGTTCATCTCCGCTTCTTCAGCCTTCCAATCCAACTCCTTCCTCTCTTGTTCCTATTCCTATTAAATCTATTTTTATAGACTTACCATCTGTACCTTCTTCCTCTCTTCCTCCCAGTTCTTCTGCCAATGTTCATCCTATGATTAGGCAACATTTCTTACTTTCTCGGTGTTTCTATTCAACCTGTGGGAACTAATTACTTCTTGTCCCAGCAAAAATATGCTTCTGAAATTCTCCTCAAGGCTGGCATGACCACTTGTAAACCCTGCAACTCACCTATATCAGTCAAGCCTACTGTCACTCCTGCCTCTTCTCTTCCTTTTACACAGCCCCGGTTATATAGAAGTCTTGTTGGTGCCCTACAGTATTTAACTATCACACGTCCTGATCTGTCTTTAGTAGTTAACCAAGCCTGCCAACATATGCATGCACCCACTAATGGCCATTTTGCCTTTGTTAAACATATTCTCAGATTTGTTAAAGGTTCCCTCTCTCATGGTCTCACCTTTTCTCCCTGTTCTTTTGACCTTCAAGCTTTTTCTGATTCTAATTGGGCTGGGGATCATTTGGACAGACAGTCTATATCTGGCTACTGCATTTATCTTGGTTCAAATCTTGTTTCTTGGTCTGCTAAGAAACAACCAACAGTCTCTCGATCCAGCACTGAGGCTGAATATCGAGCATTAGCTCATGCTACCGCAGAGTTAAGTTGGTTACAGATGCTACTGCATGATCTGGCACTTCCTACTACTTCCTCTCCTATTCTTTGGTGTGATAACCTCTCTGCTATTGCCCTTGCTTCAAATCCCGTGTTTCATACTCGCTCTAAACACATTGAAGTCGATTGTCACTTTATTCGCGAGAAGGTTGCAGCCAAGAAAGTTGTTCTGCAGTATGTTCCTTCTGTGGATCAAATCGCTGACATTTTTACCAAACCTTTATCCAGTTCCAGATTTCAGTTTCTCAAGACCAAGCTGTTGGTCACTTCCTCTCCCATCAGCTTGCAGGGGACTGATAATACATCACCTACAGAATAGCCAACTACAGAGACTACAAAGCCACAACAAGCAGAGCCACAAGCTGCTGCCAGCAGAGCCACATAACATCTAAAACCAACTAAGAGATAAAGTTTGTTAGTTAGAGCCACATTAAAGCCACAACAAGCAGAGCCACAACAGGAGCTCCTGTCATTAACAGCTAAAACCAACTAAGAGATAAAGTTTGTTAGTTAGTTAGTTAGCTACATTAGGTAGTTACAGCTATTATTAGTCTGTTAGATATTTTTTGTATAAATGTATCCATGTAATCAAATATTCAATGAAATGAAATAAGTCTTCAAAAATAAAAGAGAACATAATTTTATACAAAAAGGGAGAAAAAAAAGTGTATACAAAGTAGTGACAACTGACATGTCCAAAGTAATAAATCAACTTATATGTCCAAAGTAATAACTCAATTGTAATAAACTGATTCAAAATAAAAGATTAAGTTAGCACTCTTACCATTAGTTTGTGGCTAAGACCTGATACATTGGTGAGTGTCACAGTACCTCAAACTACAAATATCTGATTGAAATAACATAAAACAGACAACATGGATTAGGCCAAATGCAAAGTATAACCTGACAAATAGTAGTCTATAGAAATTGTTTACATATAAAGATACGAAAATTAAATCTGAAAGAATAATTTTCCAATCAATTTGAAGAAAGTAATGACACCTCAACAAAAAATAGACAATCTATATAACAAAACACACGAATCATCATCCTAAAACAGTGAATTTTGCAGTCAATTGTAAATTGAAAAACTAAATGCATAGCATCCCAACAATAAAACCGCCTATGAAAAACTGCTTAAACGGTGAAATTTAATTTTGTAAAAAAAATAATTCCTGCAATTAATCTAGTGTGTCAAATTAATGTGAAAATCATCAATAACATCAACTATAGACAACTTTAGAATAGAAATTGTTGCTTTAAAAAATAGCCAAATTAAAAAGATTTAAAGTCATCCAATAGCCATCAACTAATCTTAACATGTTTTCCTCCTCTAATCTTAACATAGTCCCGCTCCCTTGATCTTAGTATATTCCCCTCCTCTAGTAGAAAGAATGAACACACATGTTTTCCCTTGCCAATTGAACCATATTTTTTAAATAATCAACTCCCAAGTAGAAAGAACAATAGGGCAGCAAAGGCAATATACTATGGTTATGTTGTGTTTTATTTTCAATGATAAAATAAAAGAGAGACATCCTAATAAAACGTCAATTTCCAGTTCATGCTATATGAAATCTATTTAACCATGTCAACAATATCCAAGACACATGTCAAAACATAGAGTTGTAATTGAATATACCAATCAAGTAAAGGGTTGAACACATGACTTTTAGGTGTAATTAAAACATGATCTCTTTCATAAACACTGCAAGTAAACCCAAACAAATTTGTCCCAAAAAAACAAAAACAAAAACCAAAAAGTAAACTAACCAAAAACAGAGCTCAAACTAAGGCATTGTTTGATTAATAGGTTCATAAAATAGTACCACTAATACTACTAATCAAACATGCCCTAAGTGTCATTCAAGGAGAAAAGAAAAAAAAAAAAACAAAGATTAATTTAACTCCTATCTATATTAGTTAAATTTGAAACATTAGATAAAAAGTCAAAAACTAATACAAAAAATAAACACATTCAACACAAAAAACATGCCCTAAGAGGCAGAGGAAGGTATGTTTGTTTTCTTATTCCAATTTTCCACTTTTTTATTTTAAAAAAAAAAACGCCCTCTATTTGGTTGCCTAGAAAGCAGAAACCCACTTTAGTTTGTTAATTAATTGGCACAGGTTTTGTTAGACATGGCTTTCTTAGACATGGCTTCTCAATATATATACATATTGGAATCATACATAAATAGGGGATTTGGGGTTTGGAATCATATATATACAAGGGGTTTGGGGTTTGGAATCATATATACAGATATATATACATCCATATATATATACATACATATTGGAATCATGTGTATAGATATATATACATCCATAATCATATATAAAAATAAAAATAAAAGATTAATTTAACTCCTATCTATATTGGTTAAATTTGAAACATTAGCTAAAATGTCAAAAATTAATATAAAAAACCAACTCATTCTTTTCTTAACCCACAAAAAATAAACCCATCCAACACAAAAAATGTATGTTTCTTTTCTTCTTCCAATTTCCAATTTTTTTTTAAAAAAAAAACACCCTCTGTTTCGTTATATAAAATTAGAATTCTCTACTCAGAAAGACTCACTTCAGTCTTCGTTCCATTGATTTTATCAATCAAAAGCTTTTCAAAACCATAGAAAATCAACACCCATTTCCCATTAAAGAATCAAACCCATTTCATAAATCAAAACCATGTGAGAAATCAAACATTTCAAATTAATTTTATAAATGCATATCAGATTGGGATCAAAATGCATATAAATAAAGCAGAACTCACTGGATACAAATGAAAGCACAATTAAAGTAAAGCAAAAATCACAGTACACAGCAAAGGTCCAATAATTCAAACCTTGGTGCCAAAAGGTCCAATTGGATAATTCATCTCCAGAACATTCCTTCCCTAAATGAAAGAATTGGATTAAATTCAGATTCAATTCTCTCTCAAACTATCAAATGTATATGGTATTACACATACGTATCAGGCACATGAATTGAACTGAATAAACAATAGGATACCTTGAGTTCGGCCTCAAGTTCTTCACGCTCATGACCTGTAGCAATTGGCATAACATCTGCAACTCTCTTCTTCCCCTTCAGAATAATATCTGCCATCCATCAACAACTAAATGATATTTCGAATCCTTACTCTTCTTTTTTCATCAAATTCAATCCTTACTCTTCTTGGTTAAAAACTTAATTTGATAGGAGTACTCCAATCCTTACTATTTTTCTCTTTTTTTTCAGCAAATCTTTTTGAAAAATTCCAAAGTTATCCTAAAATCAGCTTTAACCATTTTTAATAAAAGAAAACCATATTCAATCCTTACTCTTTTATAAATTAAAACCATTTTCAAAACCCATTTCAAAACCATCTTGAAAACCATCTTCAAAACCCATTTTAGATCAAGTAACCATAATCGTATCTAATCATATATAACCAAATGTCATGTGGACTTGCAGTTCAATTTTCAAGTTTTCGCCCAAAAACATAAAACTGATACACTAATATGGAACCAATTAAGGCCATAAATAAGTTGCCCACAGCAGAAGTTATTAAATGGGAAGACTTGCAACTTATTATGATTATACCACATGTAACCAGATACATACGTACATATAAGAACATGTTTACATCACTCACACACACACACACACACACACACACACACACACTAACTCACTCACTCACTTAAACACTAATCCATTTATGCTATATAGTTTTGGATTTCTTTTCTTTTTTCTTTAGTTAGGGAAAGGCCTGACTATGGAGTAGTTTGTATTTGGAGATTATTATATCTATCAAAAAATATACACAGAAGGATTTCCCACGAAAAATATTTGCTCTTTTTTTTTCTTTTTTTGGGAATGTGTCGAGTGTCTCTCTCTGTCTACTTATGTGCTGCTTGGTTGTTTCTTATTATTTTCACGTGATGATTAATTTGGGTTTTATATTCATTTGATGCTACCTCTGTGTGTGTGTGTGTGTGTGTGTGTGTGAACTTATTCCACTGTTGATGCATATGAAGTAGTGCATCTATCTTAACAGAAAAATCATTAGGGGGTTGTATGGAAAAATTACTACCACCTGAGGCTGAGGCGGAGCCATGGGCACCAGGACTGGCCCTGTTCCACCACCCTCCAAAAGTTCTAAAAACCTTCATGTACATACATACATATATAGATACACACACACACACACACACACACACACACACACACACACACATACATTTAAGTATTTATGGATTGATTTCTGATGGGCTGTAAGGTTTTCTCTGATCGGCAAAGGAACAAAATCAAATTAATGTGAAACAGGGGTACAAAGAGTAGAGTACTCTACAGAATACATCCAAAAAGAAAAAAGAAAAAAGAAAGAGAGCAGTGTTTGGCAAAAGACTCAACAACCAAAAAATACACTCTATACAAAGTTGAGTTGTGCCCTCTCAACCTGAAATTAGTCTCCTCAAACTTTCTTACTTTTAGTCTCCAAGCTTTCTCTCACTTATATACTCTGAAATTTTGATTAATTTCTTTGTGGGTTATGTGTTAATGAAAGCTTTTCTTTCTTTCTTTGTTCTTCCTTTTTACTCAACAACCAACAAATACACTCTATACAAAGTTGAGTTGTGCCCTCTCAACCTGAAATTAGTCTCCTCAAACTTTCTTACTTTTAGTCTCCAAGCTTTTTCTCACTTACATACTCTGAAATTTTGATTAATTTCTTTGTGGGTTATGTGTTAATGAAAGCTTTTCTTTCTTTCTTTGTTCTTCTTTTTTTTTTTAATTTTTTGTTTTAATTATTTTTGTCTTCTCTTGAATTTTAAATTTTTACTTCCCCCAGGAATCATGTATATACAACTTTAAAACCTAGCATTTACAAAACCTAGCATTTACATACAACTTTAAACCAATTTTATGTATACAAAAGAAATTCATAATACCCAATTCTAGAACAACATATTGATTATGGATTTCATTAGGGTTAATCACTAAAACAACATATTGATTATGGATTTCTAGATTTCATTAGGGTTAATCACTACAACTTCCACCCCTATTTTCAAAACCCAAATAGAAGGGGGAGAAATAGAAGAGATGGAGCAATATTCTGGAAATAGAAGAGAGGGGAAACCCTAGATTCTTACACCACCTAAAAAAAATAACAAAAAACAACATGGAGGATAACTTTCTACCTTGGAGCTGTGTAGGGAGAGAGGAGACAGAGATTGAGGCAAATGTAGCTATATTCCGGATATCACCACCGGGGCTATATTCCGTCGGAGCTAATCACCACCGGAGAGAGAAAGCTTGGTGGAAAGAGGAAGAGGTGTGAGAGAGCGGAGCTTCAAATTTTGAAATCAAAATGAGAGAGAAGATAGACAAAAAATAAAAAATATAAAAAAAATTAATGTGAGCAGTGCGATACACATAATTAAGCACATTCTGTCTTATTTATTTATTATTTGTATATCGAGATAATTTTGTTTTTCCAAATATCATAATAATTAAATTGACATATCAATTATATAAAAGAAATCTAATAACGACAAAACTAAATACACGATAAACATATATGGAAAATACGTATTTCTCAAATAGATCCATATAAAATTGGTTATTAAAAATAAGTATTTCTCAAATTAAAGTCTATATAAAATTGGTTATTTAATTGAAATTTAATTTGTGTAAAATTTTATATATAAATAAGAAAGGCATGCTAATGTGATTTTTTTTTTCTTTTTAAAAATAAGTAAGGCCTTAGAATATGCCACATAAGAAAGGAAAAAATATTATTTGATCATACGATGCACATAATTAAGTATACTTTGTTTTATTTATTTATTTATATATTGAGATTAAAAAAATTCAAATATCATAATAATTAAATGAAAATATCAATTATATAAAAGAAATCTGACAATGACAAAACTGAATACATAATGAAAAATATATGAAAAATAAGTACTTCTCAAATAAAGTCCATATAAAATTGGTTATGAAAACTATATGAAAAATAAGTATTTCTCAAATAGAATCTATATAAAATTGGTTATTATAATTAAAATTAAGTTTGTGTAGAATTTTATATATAAATAGAAAACACATGTTGATGTGAGTTTTTTAGAAAAAAGTAAGTTCTTAAAGTGTGTCACATAAAAAAGAAAAAAACACTCATATATATATGATAATTAAAAACCTTATTTTTGCTTAGCTATCCTATTAGTAACAAAAAAGCTTTATAGTCCTAGAATTTATCGAGAATGGGTATGTGTAGCGAAAATTAAATTGATAAATTGTAGGGTCCATGAATGAAATAAAATTGAACTATTGATTCTTACTTCTAGATAAATTCTAAGTAGATTATTATGGGAAGAATTACTTAACAGTTAGACAGTGAAAAAGAATATATATAAACATGGAGGGGGTGTAAATGAGACTTGCATCTTCACAACTTTTCACTTACACCCCATCACAAATTCACTAACACCTTCATATTTTTGTAAATTTATTTATTTATTTTTTCCTGTCCCCCACCTTCAAGTAATTCCACCATAATTATAAGTTTGTAGTCTTGAAGTTTTGCAATTCCACCATAAAATTTTTAAAAAAACACTACAACAAAAAAGGTCTATGGTAACGAAAACACATGACGAAAAAATATTTCGTCTCCAAATATACATGTTTTAGTGATAAAAATAAGATTTCGTCTCCAATTGTACTATTTTTAGAGATGAAAACAAAATTTTATCACCAAATTTTTAAAATAAATAAAATAATATGTGACGAAATTTTTTTTCGTCTCTAAATTTTATTTTTCATCGCAAAACAAATTCTTGCCCTTGGAAATTTTGGTAGAAAATTTGGGCGCCATATTAGAGACGAAAAATTTTGTCACCATTGTCAAAAATTTTCAAAGACAAATATAAATTCGTCACCTATAATTTAAGGGGACAAAACGACGTCGTTTTGTCTTCCCAAATCAGCCTACCCAAATCACTCCTCTTTCGCGCTCTTTCTCTCACTCTCACCCAGTCTCGTCTCTCTCTCTCTCTGTGGTCTGAACTCGTGAAACCCTCTCACTGAAGAAATCCCCTCTCTCCGTTCGAATCACACCATCGGAACCTCTCTTTCTCCGTTCGAATCGCACCACTGGAAGCCCTCTTCTCTGTTCGTTTTGCTTCACTGATGCGGCACCACCGGAAGCCCTATTCTCCGTCCATCTCGCACCAGGTATCTTCTTTTCTATATATATATGTACATATATATGTGTCTTCATTGTTTTGGTTTGTCAATTTGTATGCCCTTTCTTTGGTAGAAATCTATATATATGTGTGTATAAATCTATATTCTATAATAGAAACTTGATGTATCACATCTGTACGGGCAATAATATCAATAAAAAGTATGAAATATGGTATTTAGGATTTGGTGGGTGTGTCAAGCTGCTACATGTTTCTTTCTAATCTGTTGTTTCTTAAATTGAGTATCTATTCACCAGAACAACAACAAATGGTCTCAGTGGATAATTGCATATTTCTTGTCTAATTTTATCAGATTGTTTATGTCAATGTGGGTAATGGGGAGCATATGCATTTCTGGGAGGATGCTGGAAGGGGCGAGGATTATTTTGTTCATTGTTCTCTGGTTTGCATTGCTTGTCTCTGTCTCATCAGGTGTCTATTTGCCTCTATGGTTTCATCCTATATGTCTCTGTTGGAATTTGAATTTCTTTAGAAATCTTAATGACAGAGAGGCAAATGAGTTAGCGTTCTTGTTGTCCATTCTTGATGAGGTTTCTTTGAGGCATTCGGTCATGAGATTTTTGCCCATACACGTATTTGTGTGTGGTCTCTAGAATATGGCATCTAATGTGTTCAAATTTTAATAATTTTTGTGTACTAGTATACACATTGCTTTAATTAAGCATGGTATTATTGTCTGCAATTTGTTTATAATGATTATACCAAAGCCTAAATTTAGTGTGAATGGTTTGTGCATTTTGGTCTTTGATATAACTCATTTAGGCGACAAATTTTTGCAAAGGTTTGGGAAAATGTTTAGCTTTATATATATCTTGATGATTTCAAATAGCTATAATTGTGGAGTTATTTCATTCAAATCCATCCATTTGAAACTATAATAACATTATTTAACCAATCCAAAAGATAGTATCTGCTGATGCAAATATCATAGAGAGATTATAATTTAGTGATGGACTTTTTTGAAGTACTGATTTTTGGTGGTTTGTTAGCAGATGCCAATCTTTCAAATCAGATTCAATATTATCCCCCTTTTTTTGTTGTAAAAAGGTATAAAATACATATAATGGAATTGTCAAAATCTCTCTCTCTCTCTGTCTATTGACATTAGTGACCTTAATTTTGTTGTTTGAGTACATATCCTAGAAAGAATTGGCCTATGGAATTCACTTCTTTGTCTACATCACTAAAACACCATGAGCTGTTCGAGAGGAGGATTTGAACCCTTCTTCAAGAAAATAATCATCGTCAAACAATTTACTAAGTTGACATTTTTTATTTAATTATTATTATTATTTTTTATAGTCTTACTCCTACAAATAGGTTTCCAACATTAATCCTAGGTTGAGGGAACATATAGTTCAATTCGATCATTTTCGCTGCCATGGAGGTGAAGGTAAGGCCTAGTTTTAGTGAAATTTCGCTATTATTCATTCTAGTTCTTTCAAATTCACGTCTCTTGTTCTTTGCATTTCTATGCAAAAAATAGAGGTGAAAGTCAACATTCACTGCCATAAGTGCAAAAGCAATATATTGAAGTCGTCACTAAACTTCAAGGTATGAAGAATGGGTTGACAAGTTTGTCGAAATTTACTATGTTTTGAACTATGACATGTGTAAAATGATGCTATATATATTTTGAATGAACATGCATTGATCAGATATCAGTGGATAGTGAGAAGGGGATACTAACCGTTATTGGGAATGTTGATCCTGTTTTAGTTGCAACCCAAGTGAGGAAGTCTAGAAAGGTAGCAGATCTCATTGGTGTTGGTCCATCGAAGACTAAAGAGAAAAGGCTCGACCCTCCTAAGTCTGAACCCGCTAAATGTATACCTGACCGTTGTAATGAATGCTAGTTTGTAGCTGTCAGCTACGTTGTTCCCTATGACAACATTCCATTTTGCTCTATCTTGTGAGAGATTATAGCATCTAATGTGTCAAATTTTATTGATATACATTGATTTAATTGTGCATAATATTGTCTGCATTGTTGCGGTCCCTTCACCAACATTCTCTGTTTTCTTTCTTTGTTGCCATATAGTCCTCTAGAGATTATCTGAATGCTTTCTATGTAGGTCATGAATATAGCGGATTAAATACCAAATGGGATTGGCACATACTGTTGGTACTAATCCTCTGGACCAGTTTAAATGTATTGGTTTATACATTGTTCTAACATTACAATGTCTCTGCAACTCATTTGGTTCTTTTTGATCTTTTGTCAAGTGTTTGGCTCCACAGTCTTGGATTCCAAGGTCTCAAGTGAACATGATGAGATCCAAAGTCATTTGGCAATTGTTCTTCGTAAATAGTTGAGTCCATGCATTTAATGCTCGGGGTAATGTTCACTCAATTTTTTTCTCCATTGAATTATTTAACTGGTCTCATAATTACCATTCCTTAATTTAATGCTCTTGGTAATGTTCACTCAATTGTTCTATGTTTTTATGATGAATCTCTTGATCCTCTAGAACCTACAATTTCTGTCTTATTTTTCACAATTAGTTAATTTCTTGACATAAATTGAGTTTGGTCTATTGATTTATTCGCTCTATTTGGTTGCAGAAATAAATTTTTATTGAGGTGTTTGTTCAATTGTAGCATGGTTATCCTTTTAATAGATTGGTGGTGCTGGTGACATTGCAGAGAATTGCACTGGTTTTCTTCATCTCTCATTGTGGATCCACACAAGCACCATGTATACATATAGGGCCTACTGCACACGTTTCATTATTTTCTAGGTTGGTAAGTCATACATGTGCACATGTCATTTTTTTCTTTGAGAAAATGGTTGTGGAATACTATTCTTCAATTTTCATGCTAATTTCCTCTTTAGGTCCATTATTGTGTTTTGATGATATCAAATTTCATTCTCTCATGGGCTGTGTATGGTTCCAGTTGTGTAAAAGATTAAGTTAATCGTTCCATATTTGAGGATAAATCGATGCGAGCTCAACTCCTCTTTTAGCATCCTTGGAAACCAAAATCATTACAAGGTTCAATTATATGAAATGCATCCTCTGCACCATTATATTATTAATGGTTATTATTTTTTTGATATTATATAATCATTTTGAAATATACTATTTCGAATTCAGCAATATTACCAGGTAGAAATTACAAATGGTTTTTAGATTGGCTCTTAGGACACAAGGCTAACATGTGATTCATAGTTCATAATAACGAAGAATACTTTTCACACTTAAGCTTGAAAATAGGCCATCGGGGGTCAAAATCGTGCAATAGCCACGAGACGACCCGGGAAACACCTCAAACACCTCGGGAGGGACCAAAGTATGTTGTGGAAACTTATGGAATTGGCACGGGACTCCCGGTTCGAAAACTAAGTCCAAAAATGCACTGTTTCACACTTAAGCTTGAAAAATAGGCCATCAGAGGCCAAAATCATGTAACAGCCACGAAACGGCTTGGGTAACACCTCAAAAACCTCGAGAGAGACCAAAGTAATTTGTGGAAACTTACAGGATTAGCACGGGATTCTCGGTTCGAAAACTAAGTCAAAAAATACACTTTTTCACACTTAAGCTTCAAAAATAGGCCATCGGAGGCTAAAATCATATAACAGCCACGAGACGGCTCGGGTAACACCTCAAACACCTCGGGAGGGACTAAAGTAAGTTGTGAAAACTTACGGAATTAGCACGGGACTCCCGGTTCGAAAACTAAGTACAAAAATGCACTTTTTCACACTTAAGCTTGCAAAATAGGCCATCGGAGGCCAAAATCATGTAACAGCCACGAGATGGCCCGGGTAACACCTCAAACACCTCGGGAGGGACCAAAGTAAGCTGTGGAAACTTACGGAACTAGCACGGGACTCCCGATTCGAAAACTAAGTCCAAAAATGTACTTTTTCACACTTAAGCTTGAAAATAGGCCTTCGGGGGCCAAAATCGTGCAACAGCCACGAGACGGATCGGAAAACACCTCAAACATCTTGGGAGGGACAAATGTGAGTTGTTAAAACTTATGGAAATACCACGGGATTTCCGATTTGAAAACTAAGTCAAAAAATGTACTTTCAGCGACAATTAAGCTTGAAAATAGGCCTTCGGGGCCAAAATCGTGCAACAGCCATGAGACGGCCCGGGAAACACCTTAAATACCTCGGGAGGGACCAATATGAGTTGTGGAAACTTAAGAAACTAGCACGGGACTCCCGGTTTGAAAACTAAGTCGAAAATTGCACTTTTTCACACTTAAGCTTCAAACTAGGCCATCGGGGGCCAAAATCATGCAACAGCCACGAGACGGCTCGGGGAACACGCCAAACACCTCGGGAGGGACCAATGTGAGTTGTGGAAACTTACAGAACTAGCACGGGACTCCCAGTTTGAAAACTAAGTCCAAAATTGCACTTTTTCACACTTAAGCTTGAAAATAAGCCACCGGAGGCCAAAATCGTGCAACAGCGACAAAACGGCCCAAGGAACACCTCAAAAATCTCGGGAGGGACAAATGTGAGTTATGGAAACTTACGGAACTAGCATGGGATTCCCTGTTTGAAAACTAAGTCGAAAATTGCACTTTTTCACACTTAAGCTTCAAACTAGGCCATCGGGGGCCAAAATCGTGCAACAGCCGCAAGACAGCCCGGGGAACACGTCAAACACATCAGGAGGGACCAATGTGAGTTCTGGAAACTTACGAAACTAGCACGAGACTCCCGATTTGAAAATTAAGTCCAAAAATGCACTTTTTCACACTTCTGCTTGAAAATAGGCCTTCGGGGGCCAAAATCGTGCAACAGCCACGAGACGGCCTGGGAAACACCTCAAACACCTCGGGAGGGACCAATGTGAGTTGTGAAAACTTACGAAACTAGCACGGGACTCCCAGTTTGAAAACTAAGTCGAAAATTGCACTTTTTTACACTTAAGCTTCAAACTAGGCCATCGGGGGCCAAAATCGTGCAAAAGCCACGAGACAGCCCGGGGAACACATCAAACACCTCGGGAGGGACCAATGTGAGTTGTGAAAACTTACGAAACTAGCACCGAACTCCCGGTTTGAAAACTAAGTCCAAAATTGCACTTTTTCACACTTAAGCTTGAAAATAGGCTACCGGAGGCCAAAATCGTGCAACAGCCCGGAGACGGCTCGGGGAACACCTTAAACACCTCGGGAGGGACCAATGTGAGTTTTGAAAACTTACGAAATTAGCACGGGACTCCCTCTTTGAAAACTAAGTCGAAAATTGCACTTTTTCACACTTAAGCTTCAAACTAGGCCATCGGGGGCCAAAATCGGGCAACAGCCATGAGACGGCCCGGGGAACACGTCAAACACCTCTGAAGGGACCAATGTGAGTTGTGGAAACTTACGGAACTAGCACGGGACTCCCGGTTTGAAAACTAAGTCCAAATTTGCACTTTTTCACACTTAAGCTTGAAAATAGGTCACCGGAGGCCAAAATCATGCAACAGCCACGAGACGGCCCGGGGAACACCTTAAACACCTCGGGAGAGACCAATGTGAGTTGTGAAAACTTACGGAACTAGTACGGGACTCCTTGTTTGAAAACTAAGTCGAAAATTGCACTTTTTTACACTTAAGCTTCAAATTAGGCCATCGGGGGCCAAAATCGTGCAACAGCCACAAGACGGCCCGGGGAACACATCAAACACCTCGGGAGGGACCAATGTGAGTTGTGGAAACTTACGAAACTAACACAGGACTCCCGGTTTGAAAACTAAGTCGAAAAAGGCACTTTTTCACACTTAAGCTTGAAAATAGGCCACCGGAGGCCAAAATTGTGCAACAGCCACGAGATGGCCCAGGAAACACCTCAAACACCTCAGGAGGGACCAATGTGAGTTGTGAAAACTTACGAAACTAGCATGGGACTCCCGGTTTGAAAACTAAGTCCAAAAATGCACTTTTTCACACTTAAGCTTGAAAATAGGTCATCAGAGGCCAAAATCGTGCAACAGCCACGAGACGGCTCGAGGAACACTTCAAACACCTCGGAAGGGACCAATGTGAGTTGTGGAAACTTACGGAACTAGCACGGGACTCCCGGTTTGAAAACTTAGTCCAAAATTGCACTTTTTTCACACTTAAGCTTGAAAATAGACCTTCTGGGGCCAAAATCGTGCAACAGCCACGAGACGGCCCGGGAAACATCTCAAACACGTCAGGAAGGACCAATGTAAGTTGTGGAAACTTACGGAACTTGCACCAGACTCCCGATTTGAAAACTAATTCGAAAAATGCATGTTAAATTGTATATTTTATGGATAAGATAATAATTGTCTAACTTGCATTTTTATTTTTATTTTTATTATTATTATTTTTTTGTGTTTCATTTTTTTGCAGATTCGAGATTTGATATGGACATGTTTGGTAATTTGGAGGGCAGATGGTAGCTCATTTTGTGTTTTTGTTCATATTACCTTACATGTATTTTGGTTGGGTTGTAAATTTTTATTTTTTTTGTTGGTATTACAAGGCATGTTGGGTAATCCGCCCTTGCTATTTTATTTTTGTTGATATTAGTAGACATATTTTTTGTTAGATGTTAGGAGATGTGTTTGGTAATCTGCATGCGGTTGATATTATATTATTGTGGATGTTAGTAGACGTTTTTTATGGATATTAGGAGACATGTTTATAATTCGCATGCAGTTCATATTGTATTTTTGTGGATAGTGCTGAAATTTGATTGTGATGTTTATGAAAATGAACAGATTTTTGTATTGATTTATAATAGATATTTTATTAACATGTTATTGAAATGTGCAGGGAATTGTTACTGAAAAGAAAGAATTTCAGAAGAAAATAGTACCCCCATTTTCAAATTTTTTAATTTTTATTAGTGATAAAATAAAAAATGTCGCTATTAGTATTCAAAAACACATGACGAATAATTTTGTCACTAATGATATAATACCAAACAAATAATTTCGTCACATTTGCTGAATATTTCGTCGCTAAATTGAAATATTTGGTGACAAAATGTTTTTTGTCATTGAAGAATTTTCTTTTCTACTCATTTTAGTGACGAATTTTTTTGTCACCTTAATCCATATCATTGGTGAGGAAAACTTTCGTCACTAAAATCTATTTGGCGACGAAATATTTCGTCGCGAAAAACAATTAAAATAAAATATCATTTAGTTTTGGTGACGAAATTGATGTTATAGTGGACGAAAAATTCAACATTCGGAGACGAAACATTTCGTCGCCAAAAATCAAAAATAGGCGACGAAATTGTTTTTCGTCACCAGGTACTTTCAGTGACGACGTATAGGCCACGAACGTGGTGACAAAAAATTTTCGTCGCAGATCACTTTAGTGACGAAATTTTGATGTTTGGAGACAAAATCAGTTTGTCACCAAATGCCTTTTTTTGTTGTAGTGAAATTTAATGCATTAACAAATATTATAAAATTTATTGGCAACACCATAAATAAGTTGTTATTGGTTTATTGGCTTATTTGAATCACATCAACACTATTTTTTTTTTTTTTGTATGTTTTTTCGTAATAAATAAAAGAATCAACTTATAAGGTATACTCAAAACAAACCTTAGTTACTAAGAGCCTTGAGGTAAAATTTGAAATTTTTGTTTCTTGGTTTTAGTGAAGAGTAATGCTACGTAGCTCGAAATCAACCCTTCCGAATCCCCCTAATTTAAAAACGATGTCGTTTTTCCATTTTTTTTTTTTTTTTTTTTTGGGTTGAATCAGAAACGAAGAAGAAGAAGGGAGAAGAAGAAGAAGAAGAAGAGAAGGGAGAAGAAGAAGAAGGGAAGTGAGAAGGGAGAACTGGACAGGAGAGGGCATAAACCAGGGGCGGAGGCGAGGCGGAGGCCGAGCTGCTGCGACGATCGGTCGAGCTTCTCTCCCTCTCTCTCTCTCTGTTTCCCTCTCTCATCTCCTCTCTCTTTCTCCCTCCCTCTCTCTCGCCTTCACCCTCTTTTCCTCCTCTTTTCCCTCTATTTCCATTTTCGGGGGATTCGGGGGGGAGCTCATTCGAGCTCCCAAGCTTTATCCTTTTAGTGAATTTGTTTTAATATTTAAAAAAAAAATACTTTTGAGTTCTACTAAATGGATCTATTTTTTTTTTTAATTAAAGACAGTTTATAAAAAGAATAATACTATAAACTTACCCTTATCAATTCAGAAATTACTTAAAAATTAATCTCCACCACACCTCATTGTACCTCACATTACATAAATTAATCTCCACCACACAATCCTCCACCCAAAAAATTCTGGGTGGTAAGTCTAGGTTACCAGACTTTCCCTTATAAAAAATGTGATTTTTTAATTTTTTTTTTAATTTTCCTAATAAGGTGGATCCTATTAAGAAAAAAAAGAAGTTAATTTTCTTAATTGTCAACCAAATTATTTAAAATCTGAACAGTCAAAATATTTTTAGTTCAAATAGTCAAAATTAGACTTTTTTAATTGAAACCAAATAGAGTCTCATTGTAATGAACTTCGTTAACCTCCCCATTTTCTATAATAAATAAACCATGAGCGGTTCAAAAAATTTATTATTTATAATACTGAAAAATTCCTAACATGTATAACTTATATTTTGAGTGAATATAAAGTTCAAATCTCACTATTCCAAAAACAGAAGTTTTTTTTTTTTTTTGTTGGTTTATTGGATTTTTTTTTAAAAAAAGGCAAAAAAAATAGAGAGATGATATGACTCAAATAAGTCAATAAACTAATAAATTGGTTTTTTTTCTTATTTATGAAAATAAACCAAAATATGAATTTGGTTTATTTCCAAACAAAGATCTATAACATGCAACCTACTGTGTCTTCGTTTAGAAAGTGAGTTGACTTTTTAACATTTTAAGCATTTTAGTTTGAGCTAAAAAACTTCGTTTGGGATGTATTTTTTTTATTTTTTATTTTTGTAAGAGAAAAAATAAAATAATTATGATTTAAATATGACATTTTATTATATTAACTTTTTAATCTATTTTAATATTTTATAATTATTTTTGCCCCAATCTAAGATGCCAAACGGAACCTATTTAGAATAAATCCAATGTTATTGAGGACCACAAAGAAGGCTCAAAACATGTAATTGTCAAATTTTGGTACTGTCAGCGCATTTATGATGGTTAAAAAGGTAAACTAGTTTCACATTTGGCAATGAATAGTAATAAAATGTTGAATTTTATCTAGTGGTACAAATGTTATTTCTTTTATTTTTATGACAAAATGTCAAATTGACATATTACATGTAACAATGAGAGATAGCTAAACTTTTTATACAATTCATATTAACATTGTCATCAAAATTTTAATTACATGCAAAAATCATTAGAAAATACAAAAAAAAAAAATTAATAATAATAATAATAATAAAGTCTCCATGTAAAGAATTACAATAATTAAAAATATTAAATTTCTTTATCTTTTTTCTTGCCAAAATTTAATGAACTCCATCAAGACCCACATCCAAGTGTAGTGCAGGATCAGGATGCTGTGGAACATACAATAGTTTATCTACAATGCACCAATGGAAAAGTTGAAATCAGAGTATCATTGCAGAAATGGAAGCCTTAAATTTAGAAAGAGTTCCTCCATAGTTGAGAGTAAATCAGCAATGCAATTTCTTTTTCCCACAATCTTCTTATGTTATGTTTGGTTGAAAGATTTGCGGATGAGATTTGAAAAGAGAAAGGAAAAAAGTAGGTAAAATATGAATAAAATATAATTACATTTCACCAATTGTTACACATATTTTCTCTTTTTCTTTTCAAATTCCTTTTTAAATCTCCCAATCAAACACATATTTATTGAAGTGGCAAGACAAAATGTATATAAAGAAAGTTTTGAAAAAATATTTAAATACAGGTTAATTTTTCAAATTTTACTTGCCACATCATTTGAGGGATTTGGAAAAGAAAAATTGTGTAGATGAATCATTTTTCTATATTTTTCTGTCTATTCCTTTTTTTCATTTCTTTTCTTTTAGTTCACTTTATCTAGTTTTTACTATTTTTTTTTTTCATTTTTCATTTTTCTTTCTAATCAATCAGGGCCGAAGAAAAAATGATAAAGCAAAAGAAACCAAGGAAGAAAATAAGACCTCTATCAAACGATTGAGTGGTGGTTCGATTCACCGTTCTTTGTGGATTGAAGGAGTCGGTCTGTAAGTTTAGTTTGAGAGAGAAGCTAGAGAGCAATGAATGAGAGAAGCTAGAGAGCAAAATGGTTTCTGTATATTATGTGTTGTCACTTTACAAGAGAAATGAACTCTCTCTTTATAGAGAGAGGAAATGTACATTGGATACCAAATGATGATTGGTAATCACCGAAAGAATAAAGTGAAAAGAGAAAGCATCTATATCTAAACAATTAGCAATATTATATTAATGGTTGAGGCTTCCGTTTATGCTATGGTTCTTAGAAATGCTTTTTTCCTCATCTCCTTCTTCTCTTGAAAATAAAAATAAAATAAAGAGTAATGCTATGTGACACACTTTCATATTTATTATATGTAAGTTATAGTATTTATAAGTTACTCAATTCCAGAGTCATAATTAAAAAAAGAAATTATAATCAAATACTATATATATAAGATATAATTAAAACACTCTTGAATCATAATCAAAATAATGTCATGGTCATCACAATGAATCTTAACTAAATATCACAAAAATCATAACCAAATATGCATATGATACACACTTCATTAAATTTTCTCAAAATAAAACAAGGACTACATAAGATATAATTAAAGTACTCTTCAATCATAACCAAAATAATTTCATAATCAGCATCATCACGATGAATCTTAACCAAATATCACAAAAATCGTAACCGAATATGCATATGATACACACTCCATTAAATTTTCTTAAAATAAAACAAGGACTAAGATAAATTTGGACACAAACTCTATCCCAACTAGTAAGAGCCTTTTTCATTAGATTAAAGGTTTAAGGTTTCCAAGATTCAAGATTCAAGGTCGAAGGTCGAAGGTCGAATCTCATGCCCTCCTTTATCTTTCTTTTCTTTTCCTTTTTTATCCCCCCGTGAGCCTAATTACTATTAAACGACTTATGGGAGATGGCTATAGGACAAACTAAGATATTCTGTTTAAGTATAGATAATATAAATATATATATATATATATATGCATATATAGTGTGTGTGGGGATGAAGCTATTTATATCGACTAGAGGTTCTGATCAGCCTAGGGGCCTTAGATCCTTAGAAGCTGACGACTGACCCTTATCTGTTTTTGTTAAGTCATAAATTTTATACCAAAAAATTAAATATTACATTGAAACTCAATGCACGCCAAAAAGGCAACAAACCCTTAGAAAAAAAAAAAAAAAAAAAAAAAAAAAACCACAACAAGCAACAGATAAATCAATGAGTATTTTTTACTTTGTCAATAGATAACTCGGCTTCAATTGAAAATCAGTTCGCTTCTCAATTTGATATCAGCTGCTCTAATGGTAAATTTTCATCAAATCTGCGCCGAGACAACCAATTGGTCGACAGGCCGGTCGACCGGTAAGGGCAAATTTTTTTTTTTTGGAATTGTTTGAACTTTTTTTTTTTGAACTGGTTGAACCTTCTGGTCGATCGGTAAGGCAAATTTTTTTTTTAATTGTTTGAACCTATAAATTTTGAACTGTTTGAACCTTTTAGTGATCGACCGGTTGGTCAACCGGCTGGTTGATCGGTTGGTCTCCCCCAACGGTAACAAACAGTGATTTGCTGAAATCAGTATTCTGTCCTCATTTTGATGAATTGTTTGGTGAATTCTCAATTTGATATTGATTTGATGCAACCGTTGAAGCACCAAATAATAACTTTTTCACTAAAATTTAAATTTGATACCAAATTTAATAAAGCGTTGAAGATGAAGATGGTCTGAATAGACGTCAATAAGTTCAGAGTTAAGCAAACAAATTACACGCTGGGTCATAAAATAATATTATATTATGCCTATTATATCAACGCTCAATTCTCCCATAACTAGCTCATGGTTTTGGAAGAACCACCCCTACTGTTTTGACACCATAGCCCAGGTTTTTAGCAGCATGTGCAATGGGAAAAGCCTCGGAGCAGCCCCCAGCACCAAATGTTGTCGAGTTTGTGGCATCGCCGGGATCTTCCCTCACAATCCCAACACAACTTCGCTGGTAGCACCAACAAATTTGATATCAAACTTTGCATAGTCTTCATCCAACAAATATCATCTCCAATAGACTAACCCAAAAAATAAAATAAAATAAAATAAACAAGAAAATATATGGTATGTAAAGAATAATCTCCAATATACAACAAGACATTCATGGAAGCTCTAAAACAATCAAGCTACAAAATATCACTCTTGATAATGGCATCTCTAGGGAGGTTCAAAAAAGGCAAATCAAAGAAAACTACTCATCCACAAAAAAAGCACAAGATCTTAGACACACAAACAAGAATCTATAAAGGAGAAGAATTTGACCCAGAGGTTAAGTAATCTGAACCAACGAGATAAGACCTTAGTTCTCACCATGAAGCTCACTCATAAAGAACAAAGACTAAGAAATTCAATATTTTGCATGGGAACAAGGTCAAAAATTGAAGTCGATTTTTTGATGAAAATAAGATCTTGACAGAGATAAATTAATTAAATTCAAATTCTTTCTTTGGCCAAATTATCAATTAGAAGATTTAGTTTGTATGAATCGCTATTGGTTTGATACCAATAATGGCATGTTAAGGATACATATGTACCCACGATTGAAAATCCATTGATGATACATTTTTCCTGAGCAAGAGGGAGAGAAGCCCCATGAAATTTATGGAGTATGAGGAGATAACACAAAACACACACCCGAAAGATATTTCATACTAACTAGTAGGAGTCTCTTTGGGTCTAGGGGGCCTAATGATAAAATAACGCCCAATTAATATACATTAATGTGTGTTTGGGAGTCGGCTAATGATGATAAATAAAAATTATCTTAGAAATTTTCAGTGAGACTGCTTTTTATCAATTATCGGATTTTGTTCCCTAAAATTATGTATGATGTATGTTTTGTTTTTAGAAAATAGTTTTGAGAAATGGTGGTGTGAGAGAGAGAGAGAGAGGGATATGGATGATGCTATGATGAGATGAGACACCAGTTAGGTGTTGTATAGAAGGCAGTGGAAGGGACAACAATATATATCCCCCCGTGAGCCTAATTACTATTAAACGACTTTTCCATCTACTGAGCACCAATCCCATCCATCCATCCATTCTTGCCTACCTAAATCTCACTATCCAATTTCCAATCTTTTACAACATTAGAGCATCTCTAACCCATGCTTCAAATCCACTGTGGCAAGCCTAATGGTAATAATTGGCATCAAATAAAGATCCATTTGATACTTCAAATCCACTGTGGCAAGCCTAATGGTAATAATTGGAATCACAGAAAACTTCACCTGGTACTTCAATTACTGACTTGGCATTTGGCATCAACAGAGCATGTCAATTGATATGCTCCAGGCTTCATGTCTTTTCCTTTATTTATTTTTTTATTCAAATGAAGTGCAACAGCCCACAGTCCAATGGTAAAGAATTCAAAATTGCTTTCGTGGTAGTACTCATCTCAACTACCCTTCTTGTTCCCGTTTCGGCCCCTGGCGACATTGTTTGCCTTAGGGTTGACCTCTTGTACTTCTTCGTTATTGTTTACTCCTCCAGGATTAGGACCCATGTTGTGTTCCTCTTCCTCATTGTAAATGTCATCTCCAATTCTCACTTCTTGTTCGTTGTTGGTCATCTATTCTATACTAAGTTCTTACAGACGGTGCCAAATTGTGGGTGTTGATTTCTGACCACATAACCAAACAGAGAACTTAGCTGGAAAGCACGCGGCAGAACATATTAAGCCAATCACTTGCTAACAAGAAGATGAGAATACTTTGGTGGCTCGTCCACCCAGGGGCACTTTGACGATCAAGTCAATCAATTTATCTCTCAAAGATATCAAACAAGTACTAAACTTACCGAATAAAGCGTACCTTAGACCCACGAGGGTCCCTCACTTTTATAGCCAGCAATGCCCTAGTTCCTTAGAAGTGTCATTTCATAGGACTCAAGTATAATGCTTATCTTAGACTCTTAGCTAGATAGTGATAAACTCCTTAAGAGCCTTATCCTTATCTAAACGAAATATCCTCTCTTATCTAGGACTCTTGTCTCTTATCCAAATATCTCGAATTTCGACATTACCGCAACGAACTTCAGTAATACCGTAGTCACCTCGGCAAACATGACCCGTCCATGTGGCACCTTGGCTGGCATCTCCAAGGCACCTTGGCCACATGGCGTCATTCTCAAAATACTTTTCCACAAGAACAATAAATTCGGAATATGGGGTGGAAAGTTTTCTTGTAAGAAATATCAAATTGATATATGTTAATTTGTCATCTATAGTCTTAAAAAAAAAAAAAATGAACGTACTAAATTTTAAAAGCTTAGATGGAGATACTCTATTAGTATTGTATTTTGTTTTCAGCTATGGTGGGTTCGTTATAGTTTTCAAAACAAAAACCTTTTTTGGGCAAAACCAAAGGTCCTCCGTAGAAGGTTATGGTTGCGTCCATTACCAATTCTGGGGGATAAATATGTTGGTTCCTCTTGTTATAATGGCTAGGACGCCAGTGTTTGTGGCTATCCTGATTTATGGTTTTTCAGTGCCATTTCATCCCTGAAACACCACATACATTTTTCGTACTTCATAATTTGAGTTTCGTTCACTTGTATAATTTATTTTTGGCCAGTTCTTACTGGTCTAAAGCTTTTTGGGCACTTAGTATTGAGCTTCCATAGAATCAATTACTACTAAAATTGTAACTTGATGTTAAAATGTTTTTTATTTTTTTCAAATACATATAATTATTTTGTTTTAGTTGTGAGTTGACAAGAAATATTTAGAATGATGTGTCAGGGTGTATATTTTTTTATAGATGATATCATGTTAGTTGATGAGATTACAAAAGGAGTTAACACTAAGTTAGAAACTTAGAGAGAAACACTTAAATCTAAAATATTAGAGTAAACAAAATTAAGATAGAGTATATAGAGTGTAATTTTAGTAACAGTAACAAAAGAAATAAAAGAGAAGTAAATATTGAGAATCAAAAACTACCTAAGAGTAAACATTTTCGTTATCTAAGATTGATTATCACAACGACTAGTAAGATTGGAGCAGATGTGGTCCATATAATTAAGGCGAGATGGCTTAAGTAGATGATTGCTTTTGAGGTACAGTGCGATAAATGAGTATCCACTAAACTAAAAGGAAAATTCTGTAGAACCTCTATTAGATCAGCGATATTGTATGAGACGTAATATTATGCAACTAAAAAATAACATGTAGATAAGATGAGTGTTGTTAAGATGAGGATGCTAAAGTAGATGTATAGTGAGACTATAAAAGGCAGGATTAGAAATGAGTCTATTCGTGAATGGGTAGAAGTAGCACTGATTAGGGCTGCAAAAAGGCCGAGACGAGTCGAGCTGAGCTTGAACTTGAGCTTGAGCTTGAGCTTGAGCTTGGCTTGTTTGCTTATCAAGCACGTTTATTGAGCTCGAGCTCGGCTCGAGTTCGGCTCGGTTTGTTAATATTGATAAAACTCGAGTTCGACTTAGCTCAGCTCGACAAGATTTTTTTAAAATATTATTTAAATACAAAATATTATTTATATTATTTAATATATATATATATATAATAATAATAGTATGCTTATTATGTAATTTACATAAAGATAAATGAGCTGAGCTTATTCGAGCTCGACCTCGCTTCGTTTACTAAATGAGTCGAGCCAAGCTGAGCTGAGCCGAGCTTAGCTTTCGTGAATAGCTCTATTTATTTGCAGCCTTAGCACCGATAGAAGATAAGCTGAAAAGAATAGATTGAGATAGTTTGGTCATATACAACAGAGGCAAATAGAGTTAGTTGTGAAGTGATGCGATACAGTGATTGTAGATAGAAGTATTAGGAGAAAGGATAAATCTAGATTAACGTGAGCTAGTGTAATAAATAGATATATGAATCTCGTTATTTTGACTAACAAAATAGTCTTTGATAGAGTCGAGTGGAGAAGAAGGATTCATGTGACCGATTCCATTTAATGAGACTTAAAGATCGCTTGGTATTTCCTAAAAGCATTTTTGATGATGCAAAGTGATATGCCCTTAATATAGTACTATACGATCCATATTTAAACAAACATAAAAAATAGATAAATAAAATGGCAATTCTACAAGCATGTTTGGAAGCATGAAGACAAGTGCATTTTGACACAAATGGGTACCCACACATCCACATATATGCAATGATATCAACCAAATTACCATAGACAATATATTGAATTACACATTATACATTGACATAATATTGCGTTTTTTCCTTGCTTCCAAATGGGGCTTGTTGCCCATGTATGCCCTATATAGGCATTACAAGATAAAGAGAACGGCTAGCATGCTTCGCTAGGTCATTCAATTGGATCCTTCTAGCATTGCACATGTTAAGCCTCAATCATATTAGCCCATTGTTTATAGTTTCACAACCCAAATGAGAATTTTCTCCTTAATTCTAAATTCTATTAGGCAGATTTCCCGGAAAAGAAAAGAAAAAGTAGTTGCTGTACTCATGTTATTTACAATTGAAATAAACGTTAATATCTTTCAAGATAATTTAATATGAGTTGCGCTCACCTTCACTCCAAGTTTGTTGCAAATATTTTCAGCAAGTAGAAGGGAATATGGGAATGTTTGTCTGCCCTGGATGGATCTGAAGAAAGGATAATTACTGATAAGCTAGTTTAAGAGAATACAAATATTATGTTCCATTACCTCCAAGCAACCATTCTCTATCAGATATTACAGCGATTGACAAGGGAATATCTTCATTCTTCAAAGATTTTTGAATATTACTAATGGTTTCCTTTAAGACATCATAGTCCATGGGGTTCCCAATCTGTGAATATAAAAAATCATGACGGATTTGAAGGAATGTAAAGAAGGTATTCCAAACTTATATTAAATAGTAATAATAATAATCATAATAAAGAGAAGATGAAGACGAAGAAGAAGAAAGAAAGAACGAAGATGAATAGTTCTAACCATATTGATGAAACAGTACCCTGTGGGAAACCCAGACATTCTTGAGCTTGCCTTGACCAGCAAGGCTGCTTGCCCTGTTTCTGTCATCCATTGGCACATCTGACAATATTTCTTACACATACATGGATCTTAAAAAATAAAATTTCAAGCAACATATTTAAAATCTAAGAACTTAATGTACGATCTAAGACATTAATATATCTTGTGTCTGATTTCAAAAGAGGTGAAAGCAAACCAATACAACAACAATAACAACAAAAAAGAAGAAGAAGAAGAAGAAGAAGAAGAAGAAGAAGAATGAATGATGATGTCATTCTATTGATGGCTGATGCAGATCCACATGTATTAAAAAAAAAAATGATAACTCAGTATTCGGCCCAATGGACCAACTAATCTTATGAGATGTTTTATGCTATGATGCCTTAAAGGAAACCAAATTTATAAAAGTTTCCCCCTAATTTTAAAGCAACGAAATAAAATCTTATTATTGTATATGACCTCAAACAAAATAGCAGATATGATGAAGTTTCTTAAAGAACATTAGAACATACCAATACACTACCAGGTCCAAGATAATTATCATATTCTTCAATCATTTCTGCAACATCAGGGCGCCATCCAAGCAGTAGTATACATGCTTTTGGTCCTAGACTCCAATCTGATGCCTACAAACAAAACTCAATGTAAATATACTCCAAATCGTTGTTTTAACCATGAACTTAGCGAATCCAAGTCAGAAAACACTTACCTTGAGCCCTAGATCGATTTAGATCAGAGGGATTCGAACAATCTCGAAGATATACGCTCAAGAAAAGACGGAGAACAAGCTTTTCTACCTCAAGTAACTTCGCATCTCCACCAAGGAAGACAGAAATTTACAGATCATACATAAAAATCGATTATACATAAGAAAAAATAATAATAATAATAAACCTTTTTCCCAACCCGATCTACCAAGCATAAACCTTATCTCATACCTGATCTACCACGTATCTAATTTCAACCAGATCTAGCAAAAAATAGAACCAAAAAAGAGAAAGAAAAAAAATTATGAAATTAGAGATCTAGAGAACAGATTTGATACCTTAAGGGCCTGAGGAGCAACATCCCAACCCAAACGCGGTCTCTTTCTGGGATGACGATCCATGTCCGCGTGTGGAAACTCGATCACACGTTCCATCTCCATGATCGAACACAGATAGATCCAAACAGGGTTTAGAGAGAGAGAGATTTTCAGAGAGATCGAAGAGAGAAGAAGATAATCGAAGAATGATAATGATCTGATCTGAGATGAATAACAGATCGAGATCAAGTTCGAGTTCGATGAAGAACAGCTAGAGCAAAGCCCTAGAGCGACAGAGATCGATGTTTGACCGAGGAATGTAGATCGATGTTCGATTACGATAGAGAGGAGCGGTGTGTGAGAGACTGAGAGGGAGTGATGTCTGTGAGAGTGAGATATCAGTGTAAGACTGAGAGAGACGGACCATGACGGAGATACGAGTGTGAGAGAGTGAGATCTGTTAATTGACTTTTCTTTCTTCTTTTTTTTTTAAATGTAAAATACACAAAACACTAAAAAATGGCGTTTTTTTAAAACGATGTTGTATAAACATTGTTGTATGCCAATTTTCTTGTAGTGTCTATTCTATACTAAGTTCCTACAGACGGTGCCAAATTGTGGGTGTTGATTTCTGACCACATAACCAAATAGAGAACTTAGCTGAAGAGCACACGGCAGAACATATTAAGCCAACCACTTGCTAACAAGAAGATGAGAATACTTTGGTGGCTCGTCCACCCAGGGGCACTCTGACGATCAAGTCAATCAATTTATCTCTCAAAGATATCAAACAAGTACTAAACTCACCGAATAAAGCATACCTTAGACCCATAAGGGTCCCTCACTTTTATAGCCAGCAATGCCCTAGTTCCCTAGAAGTGTCATTTCGCAGGACTCAAGTATAATGCTTATCTCAGACTCTTAGCTAGATAGTGATAAACTCCTTAAGAGCCTTATTCTTATCTAGACTAAGTATCCTCTCTTGTCTAGGACTCTTGTCTCCTATCTAAATATCTCGAATTTCGACATTACCGCAACGAACCTCAGTAATGCCGTAGTCACCTCAGCAAACATGACCCGTCCATGTGACACCTTGGCTGGCATCTCAAAGGCACCTTGGCCACATGGTGTCATTCTCAAAATACTTCCCCACAAGAACAATGAATTCGGAATATGGGGTGGAAAGTTTTCTTGTAAGAAATATCAAATTGATATATGTTAATTTGTCATCTATAGTCTTAAAAAATAAATAAATGAACGTACTAAATTTTAAAAGCTCAGATGGAGATACTCTATTAGTATTGTATTTTGTTTTCAGCTATGGTGGGTTCGTTATAGTTTTCAAAACAAAAACCTTTTTTCGGCAAAACCAAAGGTCCTCGGTAGAAGGTTATGGTTGCGTCCATTACCAATTCTGGGGGATAAATATGTTGGTTCCTCTTGGTATAATGGCTAGGACGCTAGTGTTTGTGACTATCCTGATATATGGTTTTTCAGTGCCATTTCATCCCTGAAACACCACGTACATTTTTCTTACTTCATAATTTGAGTTTCGTTCACTTGTATAATTTATTTAAAGCTTTTTGGGCACTTAGTATTGAGCTTCCATATAATCAATTACTACTAAAATTGTAGCTTGATGTTAAAATGTTTTTTATTTTTTTCAAATACATATAATTATTTTGTTTTAGTTGTGAGTTGACAAGAAATATTCAGAATGATGTGTCAGGGTGTATATTTTTTATAGATGATATCGTGTTAGTTGATCAGACTACAAAAGGAGTTAACACTAAATTGGAGACTTAGAGAGAAACACTTAAATCTAAAAGATTTAAAGTAAACAAAATTAAGATAGAGTATATGGAGTGTAATTTTAGTAACAGTAACAAAGGAAATAAAAGAGAAGTAAATATTGAGAATCAAAAACTACCTAAGAGTAAACATTTTTGTTATCTAAGATTGATTATCACAATGACTAGTAAGATTGGAGCATATGTGGTCCATATAATTAAGGCGAGATAGCTTAAGTAGATGATTGCTTTTAAGGTACAGTGCGATAAATGAGTACCCACTAAACTAAAAGGAAAATTTTATAGAACCTCTATTAGATCAGCGATGTTGTATGGGACTGTTAGCACCATAAATCTGCAATTTTATTTTTTATATAATTGTAGAACACGTGGCATCCTCTTATTCATTTGGAAGTTAAAAGAAGTTATGGAGATGATGGAGAATATGAAGGACAAACTGGATGAGTGGAAGGACACATGGCAAGACAAGAATGAAGATGGAAGAAATGGGTAGTTACTAAGTAGTTATTGCTGTATTTTTTCCTCTATAAATAGCCATTAATGGCTATATTGTAAGGATGAAGAATTCATAATCAAAGACAATTGATTTCAATATTTCTTGTCATTTTCCTTATCTTAGGAGTAGTTTAACATAGATTTATATTTCAAAGTATTTATTTTCAGCATTTCCATTTCGAAGCATTTTATGCACTTCCTTTTCGAAACATAGGAGTAAAGGTAAGTAATTATTACTTTGATTGTTCACTCAATCGTCTTTCTCCGTCCCTCTTTCTTCTTTTACTTTTTCTTTTCTTTATACTTGGCAAATTTGAAGTCCTCTTCGTTGAGGCAAAAGAACCGTCAACACAATCGCTTGATAATTGGCTTGAATTTAATCTATAAGGATTTTTCAATCCTTGCTGGCACGCTCGCATTTATGATATTTTCCTTTGTAGGAAAAATAAGCCAACAATTTTTGGCATGCCCAGTGGGACGTCAAGTGTAATAAATGGAAAATGAATTGGATTTGTCCATTTCAAATAGTCTAGATGAAATTTATTGGCGTAAACATGAAATTTTGGATCTTCAAGAAGAGATCTATTTTCTTGATGAAATAAATTTTCATCCCTTACAATATTATTTGGTGGAAGAAAAAAGACACCATTTAATTAGAGAAATTTATCAACTTGATATGGAAATTCGCCAATGGAATGATGAGTTATCAACTCTCACTACCAAGTCTTTAACTGAGGCTTTAATGGCCGGAATTGGTGAATTTTTTCAAAATTTTTCCATGGTTAAAATTAGCAAAAGCAAAGAGTTGATTTCATCAATGGCTTGGGAGGTTCAAGAGTCCGTTTTTAAAGAGCCAAATTATGAAATTAACATAACGAAAGAGCATGCTCTTGAGCCAAATTTGGCTAAGAATGATGTTCCATACATGGCTCGGGGGGTCTCAAAACCAATTTTTAGAGAGTCAAGTCATGAAAATAATATATCTATGGGTGATTTTCATAAGCCATTAATGGCTAACATGGAAAAACAACCCACTTTGCCAAATAATTATGAAAATCTATTCGGCAAAAGTCATGTTTTTAAAACAAACATGGTCAAAAATAATGAACAAGCCACTGTTCATGAATTCAAATTTTTTGACATTTTTCAAAATGTCAAAAAGTATGAATTTTCATGGTCACACTATACCATGACTTTTGTTGTTCGAAATCCATTTTGGATTTGTGGATCACATCAAACGTTGACTTTGATGGAATGGCTAACAAATAATATTTCGTTATTGCAATATATTGAGCCAAAAATGTTGTTATTAGTTGATCCATAAAACCATCACCATTTGGTTTTGTGGTTACCTTCGAAGCATGTCTCGAGACACTTCGAAGTAGATTATTCATTGAAATAGCCATTAATGGCTAGTTAAAAGGCCAAACTAATTTCATCATAATCCAACTCTTTGGATTTATTTTGAAGAGATGTCATGAGCACTTTCGAATGACGACTTTAATCCTTTAGTAACATATGTGACTTTCGAATGGTGGTTTTGTTATCAATAAACACCTTCGAAATGTAATATAGGATGAGAAAACTTTCGAAATGTGTACCTCCCTTCAAATATATGTAAAATGGCAATTAATTAATTGTCGAATAATGCCTATTTTTGGCATGATAAGTTGGTTCGAAGAACAACAGTTTTGGTGTCTTCGAAGAATTAATAATTGGTTCGAAGCACAAAATTAATATTTTCATTAATTATGTGTGAACCAAAACATACAAAATTTGAATAACCACAATGTTGGCCAAAAGTTGCTTCGAAAGCCCTTTTGTCATAATTTTGTAAGATTCGAAGCACTCCATCTTGCATCAACAACAGCTTCGAAGAAAAAATAGTGATAGTTGTGAACCTTCGAAGCTTTGCTGAGTATTTCCAAGGATGTAATTCGTCATTTGTTGGCATTTTCGACCTTCGAATGATAATTTTAGTCCTCTATACCACCTTCGAAGCTAGTTATTTAGCATGTGTAACAGTTTGCTAAGGTGAATCATTGGCTTTGTCTTGAAAATATGTGGTTATCCTTCGAAACTTTTTTGCAATAATATCCCTTCAATGCGTATATATATAATTCACAACATCTAGTCATAATTTCATGCTCATTCGAAGTACTTTATTGGTGTTGTTATATCATTCGAAGCACTTTGCTGCTTAGGTTAGTCATGTGCTTGGTTCGGCCCTTCAAAAATTCAAGTAAATATCATTTTTAAGGGCCGCGGGGGGTAATGTTAGCACCATAAATCTGCAATTTTATTTTTTATATAATTATAAGACACGTGGCATCCTCTTATTCATTTGGAAGTTAAAAGAAGCTATGAAGATGATGGAGAATATGAAAGACAAACTGGATGAGTGGAAGGACACATGGCAAGACAAGAATAAAGATGGAAGAAATTGGTAGTTACTAAGTAGTTATTGCTGTATTTTTTCCTCTATAAATAGCCATTAATGGCTATATTGTAAAGATGAAAAATTCATAATCAAAGACAATTGATTTCAATATTTCTTGTCATTTTCCTTATCTTAGGAGTAGTTTAACATAGATTTATATTTCGAAGCATTTATTTTCAACATTTCTATTTCGAAGCATTTTATGCACTTCCTTTTCGAAGTATAGGAGTAGAGGTAAGTAATTATTACTTTGATTGTTCACTCAATCGTCCTTTTCTGTCCCTCTTTCTTCTTTTACTTTTTCTTTTCTTTACACTTGGCAAATTTGAAGTTCTCTTCGTTGAGGCAAAAGAACCGTCAACACAATCGCTTGATAATTGGCTTGAATTTAATCTGTAAAGATTTTTCAATCCTTGCTGACACGCTCGCATTTATGATATTTTTCCTTTTCGTAGGAAAAATAAGCCAACAGGGACGTAATATTATGCAACTAAAAAATAACTTGTAGATAAGATGAACGTTTTAAGATGAGGATGCTAAGGTAGATGTGTAGTAAGACTATAAAAGACAGGATTAGAAATGAGTCTATTCGTGAATATATAGAAGTAGCACTGATTAGGGCTGTAAACGAGCCGAGACGAGTCGAGCTGAGCTTGAACTTGAGCTTGAGCTTGAGCTTGGCTTGTTTGCTTATCAAGCACGTTTATTGAGCTCAAGCTCGGCTCAAGTTCGGCTCGGTTTGTTAATATTGATAAAACTCGAGTTCGACTTAGCTCAGCTCGACAAGATTTTTTTAAAATATTATTTAAATACAAAATATTATTTATATTATTTAATATATATATATATATAATAATAATAGTATGCTTATTATGTAATTTACATAAAGATAAATGAGCTGAGCTTATTCGAGCTCGACCTCGCTTCGTTTACTAAATGAGTCGAGCCAAGCTGAGCTGAGCCGAGCTTAGCTTTCGTGAATAGCTCTATTTATTTGCAGCCTTAGCACCGATAGAAGATAAGCTGAAAAGAATAGATTGAGATAGTTTGGTCATATACAACAGAGGCAAATAGAGTTAGTTGTGAAGTGATGCGATACAGTGATTGTAGATAGAAGTATTAGGAGAAAGGATAAATCTAGATTAACGTGAGCTAGTGTAATAAATAGATATATGAATCTCGTTATTTTGACTAACAAAATAGTCTTTGATAGAGTCGAGTGGAGAAGAAGGATTCATGTGACCGATTCCATTTAATGAGACTTAAAGAGTTAATTTGACTTGATAGAGATATAATTATTAGAAAAAATTACCATTCAGCCCATCATTCAGCCCGTGGTTTATCTGTTGATATTTCCAAATTTAAATGGTTTGATCAAATGCTACTAAGCCCAATGCACCAAAGGAGAGCCGCAAGCCCACCAAAATGTACGACAAACACAGGGTAAGGGAAAATAACAACACACTGTAGTTTTAGAAAAAAAATTACAAATCAATGATAAAATTTATAAATTTTGATAATTAAATGTTATACTTTTTCATGATTCTGTAAACTTTTTTATTTGTTACCACTGAATTTTAATTTCACACATAACAAAAAGGGTATGACTTTAAAAAGATGAGGTCCACTCCAATTATCTTCAATGATACGATCTCTTTTGCATTTCATTTGAACAACATGCAATTCCATTAACATTGTAAACCCTTATTTCTGGATCTTGCGTTCATACTTCTGTGAAGGTGAATTTGTATTACGTTGTCTCAAGCCAATAGATTCTTTTGTCTTGAAAGCCATTATCTACTTAGAAGTCATATTTCTTGGAGACAGGCATGTTTGATTTAAGGATTTGAGAAGAGATTTAGAAAGAGAAAGAGAAAATTTATATAAAATTATATAAAATATAAATATATTTTATTCACATTTTATTTAATTTTTTTCCTCTTTTTAAATCTCTTATCAAAATCTCCAATCAAACCCAACGTCAGAGAGATGCTCTGCGTTTAGAGAGAGGCTCTGGGCATTAGTTTAATTTAGATTGAAAATAAATAAAAAAAATTTAAATTTAAATTAATGAAATTAAAATTTTAAATTTATTTTTGTAATTTTTCAAAAAAGAAACTGTTCATACTACTACAAATTTTCAGCTTTTTGTTTACCAGAAGCCAAACAAAGAAAGCTCTGGCGTGAAATCAAAACTCACCGCCTCGACAACGGCGTCGTAGAAGCGAATGTCATCGTCTCTGAAAGTGAAAGAGGCACACACACCAATTCCTTCGACGAGTCTCGAGCACTGGCTGTCCTGCAACTGCTGCGATGGAAGCCGAAACCTCCGAACGAACTCCTCGACGGCCTCGATCGTCTTAAAATCGCCAACTCCGAAGCTCTCGTCGGTGGATTCGGAGAAGTTCCAGAACTTGACGACGAGAGTGTCGTCGTCGGAGAGTACGACTCGGACGCTGTACCAAGCGTCGTCCAACGTCGATCGGAACTCCAGATCGTACAACGAATTGTCGTCGTAACCCATCATGGCGGTGGTGGTGCCGTTACAGATACAGTAATAAAGACATATAAATAGAGTGGTTGTAGGTGCTGTGTACTGCCGCTGTACCGACTAATTTCACATTAGTTAGGGATTATTTAAGATGTTTTAAATAAGTATAATTTTTTTATTTTTTATAAAATAATATGTAGAAAAATAGAGAGGAAATATTAATTGATGTGATTTAAAAAAAATAAAAAATGTAGACTTATTTAATTTTTTCAAACAAGGCCTTAGAAGTGACGCTTCTGACTGTTTTTGATTGCGTTCAAATTGGGAGATTTTTTTTATTTTTATTTTTTTAATAATATGATTTTTTATATTAAAAGCATGTTATAACACTCTGGCCCTATTTAGTAGAGTTGTGAAAAAATGATTATAGATTATAACTTAATAGATTATAATTTATAGTTGTGAACATAAGTTGTTAACCTATTTGGTGCAACTGTATGATTATGAATTTAAGCAGTAGAATAGTGTTTGGTTGAGAAGCTGTAAAATAATTTTTTGATGTGTAATTATCTTTTTTACCCTTATATAATATAAAAATGCATATTTTGTCATTTTTTTCAATTTTAATTTTTTAAAAAAATTATTTCATTAATAAAAGTTAATATAATTAGTATTATATAAATAATTAACTCATAAATTGTTATTTTCATTTTTTCATTATAAATTATTATTTCCAATTTTTCATTATAAATCAATTAGTATAAATTTTTTTCATTTTTTCATTATAAATTAATTAGTGGAAATTAATGGTTTAATAAGCATCAATTAATACGTTGTTTGGGGTGTCCTAAATAAGTGTACTTTTTGTCTTTTTAGACTAAAAAATTGAGAAAAAAATATGGATACTTGGGTTAACTTTTTAAATTTTTATGAAAAAATACGTATTAAAAAATTGTATAAATTAATGTGTAGGAAAAGTTTTGACAGTGTAGACTACACGATGGCAGCAAGGTTTGCAGAGTGGTGTAATAGGAAATGGTTGCCTCCTTTTCGGGCAACCATTTGGACAATGCTCTTTGGCCAGTGGGGGCCACCACGGGTCCCGTTTTGCTAATCGGAACCGTTCAATGTGTACAACTTGTTGAGTATTATATATTTGTTAGAACTCACGTTGATCGGATATCTATAACTATCTGATCGGATTAGTTTTTTTGTCAACCGTTAACTGTAACACCATCCATTTTTTATACAAAACTGATTTAATCATGTAGCTATCCATATCCAATTAACTTGATTTTTTACAGCATATAGTACTCGACGAGTTCTGCTCATTCAACGGTTGGTATTATCAAAACGGGACCCGTGATGGGCCCCACTGGTCCAACATTACCCTCCAATTTAATGAATATATATACTTAATTTTCTTCTTCTTTTTTCCTTTGATAGCCTAATAAGTGCACTTCTATCAATTCAATACCAGTCACGTCAACTGGCTGGTTTGTATTAAAATATTGTGTAAATTAATTTTTTTATATTTTTAATTTGTGAATAGTGATAACTTTTTAACTTTTTTAGTAACTTTTTGGCTTTTTAAATTTTTTTTAGGATGCCAAACCAAGCCTTAGTCCCTTAAATAGAGAGTGGTGACCGCATTTCCTATTAAATTATCAATTTTATCCATTTAGCTCCGATAATTTATAACTTTAATTTGTATAGTTCAATAAGGGGTGCTTGTGCAAATCATTGTGGTACAAAGCTAACTCGATGGTTGAGTGGGTAAAGAGGTGGCTGAGTAGTGGTAACAAAAAATAGGACGAAATGTAATATAGTAATACAGGAGATAATTTGTGACAATTAGAATAAAAGAATTACTCTTTGTTTTCATAATTTTGTATAATCTTGGAGACTAACCGGCACAATGGGATGCCTCTTACGAACCAATTGTCCAAGTTAATGGTCGAGTCTTAAATCTTAAGCCCAATCTCACTCAAACCAAGTTGTCTAGGACACAAACTGAAGCCAAATGGACTTGAATCAAACTATGGCCTTTTTGGGCCGAATGACAACGCTGCCATGCTTGTTAATGGAAAAAATACTATGAATTTTATATTTTATCCTTCTTTGAAATTCATTACTACTACAAAATATACAATGATGACAATTGATATTTAAAAATTAAAAAAAAGGGGAGGGGAATGGTAAATTTTAGATAATTTAGTTAAGTTAACAAATAAAACTTTACAGAAATAGACAAATGTGGCTACCAAATTTGATCTTCGCTTATACAAACAACGGCCATTGGTGAATTATACCATTGGCCGGTCGGCACTCAGTATGGCCGGCCGGCCCTCTGTTTGGCCGGTGACCTCTTTTTTCTGGCCGGTAGCACCTTTTTACCTTTTTTAGGCATGGTGCATGCCAGTTGTGCCAGCTGGAATGCACCAAACCTGCCCCGGGGCATACATGTGGCTGTTTTGCCCTTTTTGCACCCTTTTGGTCAAAGCTTCTTGAGGAAGCTTGACCCTTTGTCAAAGCTTCCTCAAGAAGCTTGCCAATTGTCCTAGCTTCCTCAGGAAGCCTTGCCCCCCTTTGATCCCTTTTTTTTTGTTTAGCTTTTTTGAGAAGCTTCAAACCTTTGTTTTGTCTATATATAGAGCCCCCCTCCTCCATTGTTGGAGGTTCAGCAAAAAACCAGAGCTATACACATATATATCTGATATATATCATCCTCTCTCTCTATATATGTAAGGCCCCGGTGTCCCACATCGGGAATGGAGGGGGAGTTCCTGGGCTATAAAAGTAAAAACCTGGACCGTTATATAGCATCGAGGCCTTTTCCCGAGTGGTGAAATCCCTAACAGAACTCCACAGTTAAGCGTGCTTAGGCCGGAGTAGTTCTGGGATGGGTGACCCACTGGGAAGAACAAATTCGTGCAGGCATGACCCAAAGCGGACAATATCGATGACGTGTAAACGGTCGGGGCGTTACAAATGGTATCAGAGCCGACTCTCCGGAGTACCGAGTGTAGGCCCCTGGCGTCTCTCGGTGCATATGGGCGGGCTTGCGAGCTGGCAGGCTACTGCACGAGGATGTGCAGCCTTATGGGGGGGTGGATTGTAAGGCCTCGGTGTCCCACATCGGGAATGGAGGGGGAGTTCCTGGGCTATAAAAGTAAAAACCTGGACCCTTATATAGCATCGAGGCCTTTTCCCGAGTGGTGAAATCCCTAACAGAACTCCATAGTTAAGCGTGTTTAGGCTGGAGTAGTTCTGGGAGGGGTGACCCACTGGGAAGAACAAATCCGTGCGGGCGTGACCCAAAGCGGACAATATCGATGACGTGTAAAGGGTCGGGGCGTTACAATATCTCCCTCTCTCTCTTCATTTTGTGTGTGTTTGAGGGCCTAAAGTGTGTGTTTGTTCTTAGTTTTGCACTAAAACACATAGCATTACACCTTACTTTGACTTTGAGAGACATTGAGGGTTTGTTCTTGAGGTTTTGGACTGATTTTGGTCAGAAGAGAGTGGCTGGGCCTGCTGTTCTTGAAGTGTTCTTCAAGGGTAACACTTTTGCTTTATTTTCCCCAATCTTGCATTAGCTTTTGACCTGTCTTGCATGCTGATTTAAGCTGTGTGTATAACATAAAAAAGTTCTGTTTTTTTTTTTTTGTGTTTAAGATAGTTCATTAAGGTCACTTTTGTGTTTGGGGTTGTTTACCCCCTCTTAGGCCTTGTTTGGCCCCACTTTGTGCTATTTTTGGTGAGCTCTGGGGCCACCTTGTTGGGGCCTCCTCACCACTGAAATCTTGAGGGATTTCAGTGGTGAGGATGGTGATTTAAGGTCCTAAGAAGGAGAGGGTCATCCCCTCTCCTTGTTGTCTTGTTTGCTTGCATTTTTGGCCTTACAAAGGGCCTATATTTGCAAACATCTTGAGCTCGGTTCAGGCATTTTTCAGTGGGTTTTAGGACCCCCGTAAGCCATTTCCAGAGTTGTTTTGGTCATGTTGAGTGTCCTTCTTGCATGTGTAGAGTAACCCTCTTATTGGCCTTTCAAAGGAGCACCTTATTCTTGCATGTATTGGACACATTTCAGTGGGTATTTGGTCATATTTTGGCATGCCTTAGATCTGTTTTTTCTTGGTTTAATGGTCTCTCGCATGCATCATATGCTTGCTTTGCAATCCTATGTTTTGGCCTGACATGCATCATGTTGTGTGATGACATTTTAGCATGATTTTGGTTAGGTTCCAAGAGGGTTTTAGCATTGTTTTGCCATGCTTAAGGTCTAGTTATGGTTGTTTTTGTAAGGCCCCTGAAATATGTATTTACTTCTCAGACCCTAATGTTGAATTATTTTCTTAAAGCCCCTCGGTTACTTGAATAAATTCGAATCTTGCCGGCTAGCATTACTATTTTACTTTATTTTATTTATTTATTTATTTTTATCAAAACAAGAATTACCTTAGCCGGATTAGGTTCCCTAACCTAATTTAATTCTACATAAATTACATGTATTTAACACCAAGCCCCTACTTCTTTATTAAATTCAAAATAAACCACAAAAACTAGTACATGTACTCTAATATTATTAGTACCATCAATCTTGTAAGATATATATATATATATACACCTTGAAGAGGGTGCTCTAGGACCAAAACCAATAAAATAATAACCCATTACACTCCTAGGGAAGAGAGAGGAGCCAATTTTCAATAATCATGATTATGAAATCCTAGAGAAATACAACCTAGTGACCTACCTAGGATACAAAATCCAAGAATTAGTTTCATTACAACTAGAGGTGGCCTAAACCAATGGAACACACCTCCTAAGTCCCTTCCATTCCTTTAGAGTTCAAGCAAAATCCTAACTTTCCATCCAATTCCAACTAAAGGGCTTTTATGTCATTTTACACCAAAATTTGCCTATATATACCACACCCTCCCTAGCTTGCAAACATACACACAACACACTCACTTACACACACATTTTGGTTAGAGAGAGAGAGAGAGGAGAGCAAGAAAGAGAATGTAGAGGAGAAGAAGGAGGAAGAGAAGAGAGTTTCTTGTGCAAAGCTTAGAAGGTAAGCCACCAACACAACCTTCTCT